TCCGCCGGGGGGAAAGGTGTTGGGGCTTTTTTTTTTTTTTTTTTTTTTTTTTTTTTTTAAAGCATAAAAGGTCACCCTCTAACATTTCCCCCCCCGACTAAGCATTGATTGACTTCAGACTGCTGTTTTTTGTGACAGGTGTCCAAGGTGCACAAGCACTGGTGTTCCTCTCTGGCTGTGAGCGAAGACCGCCGATTTTTGGTCACGGCGGGACACAACGCAGTCAAAGTGTGGGATTATAACATGCATCTTAGTTTGAACTCGCAGGTACGCACAAAACGCACAAAGCAAAGCCTTTTACAGATTGGACTGATTACAGTTGATCTTCTTGACTAAACTGACATCGTTTGGCTTTGACTGCCGCTGCATTTTACTAATTAGTGAGTTATGATCAATGGAAAGGTGCGCTGACATTCCTTGCGCGTTATGCTGTGTCATTGTAACTCAAGGATGAATTTTGTTTCCCAGATGTTTATAGGTCATAGTCAGCCCATCAACCAGGTGAGCTTCACCCCTGGACAGCAAGGTGTGATCTCTGTGGGGGACGCCATTTTCCTTTGGGACTTCCTGGCCCACCCAGTTGACTTGCTACATACCTTACGGTACTACTCACCATTAAATGTTTGTGTGTCTAATGAAAATGCGTGTCTCTGCCCATTTCCTTGACACTTTGTCTTTCCCCACAGTTTGCCATCGCGGTTTGCGACCACCTCAGGTAGAGTAAATGTGGTGTATGACAAAACCGCAGCATTCAACTCCTGCCGCGAATGATCCGATTGACCGTTTGGATTAAGCTGCCGATGAGATGCCTCGGGAAAGGGCACCCCTACCCTTGTCTCCACCACCCCCGCTTGACGTGAGCGCCGTGGACTCCAATGAAGTCGAGCTGAACGGTAATAATAAAAAAATATATATTTATATTAGGTCACCTCTGGCCATGATGCACTCTTTGGAAATAATAAAGCTGCTCAAATGACCTTCAATTATTTATTATAGACGGAACTGTCGGATCAAGAGGGTCAGTTGTTCACTAACAAGCCCACTTTGTGTTTTTTCTCGAGAAAGTGAAACTGGAATCCATTTTCAATGACAGCACGCCACTTAGAAGCAATCTGTCAATAATTGCCTTTGGAGCGCCTCTTTTTCATCAGCAAAATCATTTCTAAGTCCAGAAGTACAAAATCTGTGCCAATGTAAGGACCATTTGAGCCCTTGAATGATACCGTGGCGCCTTTGCAGCCTTGCTGAAGTGTATCAAGCAGCTTGTTGCTTCGCAACAGACTCACAGGCGTTGCCTGCATTTCAACTATATTTGGCTCTTCTGGCTGGAACTGTGAATTTTGTCTTTGAGAATTTAATAACGGCCTGTCCATTTGTTACAGTCACCACCACTGGTTCAGAGCCCAGTTCTCATCCCAGGCCAGCCACGTCCTTCTTGAAAATCACAGAACTCAGAGATACCATCAAACTGGGTAGCCATCTTCAAAACAGTGGTGAGTCCCCACCTTCAGTGGAAGTTTAAGAATCAAATCGATATATAGATGTCCATTTATAGCAGACTTTTTGGCATTTTATAGATTTCACTGGGAGGAAGCCCTTGCGTCCAGATTGTTACCGACACTTCATTCCACGATTTAAGAATTCCACGTTTGATGAGGTAAAAACGTCACAGAAATTTCTTGTGCAAGTTTTATTTATTTTTTTTTGCTGTTGTTGTTTTTGACTAGTCAAAATATTTTCTTTTGTCAAGACTGCTGTGACTCCTCAGCCAGGCGAAGCAGGCGTGACGCTCAAGGCAGTAATTGGTTACAATGGCAATGGGCGTGGCAACTTGGTTTGGAGCCCTGACCAAGGTTATTTTCTTTTACTGCATAAGAAGCAAAGTCAAACGATCATGTATGCTGTCATAACAAAAGGCATTAGTGTAACTTCAATGCAATTGAGAAGAAATGTGAGCATGTGCCCTGTAGCTCCTTTCCCCACAGGAGACCCCGGCGATTGTTTTGTGCGTTCCTGCAACTCCTTTTGTTTTTTCCTCTCTCTCTCTCTCTCTCTCTCTCTCTCTCTCTCTCTCTCTTTCTTTTGTGTGTTTGTCACAGGTTTATTTGCATACTCCTGCGGTGGTGTGGTGGTGGTGGAGAATGTCAACTCGGGCCGTCAGAGACATTTGCAGGGCCACAGGGAAGAGATCTCCTGCCTTGCTATTTCAAACGATGCTCAGGTAAGACGACACCAGAAAGTCAGTGTCAGATATTACTGGAAAATGGCCAACTGTACCACAGAGATAGGAAAAAGTGCCCACAGTCGAGAAACACATACAAAAAAAAAAATCCACTGTGGGGCTTCTAGTCAAACTGAAGCCCATTTGATACAAGCTGTACAATATCGTCACTGACCTGTGAAAAACACATTTGTCCATTTTGTCAAATTTAAACAAAAAAAAAAAAGGTTGACATCAATAGGGTGTCTGCGTTTCGGACATCCCACGAATGCAAAAATTCGAAAAAATTGCCAAAATGGACATTGTCTTCACAGGACAGTGACGATGCATTGGTTGGCTCCACATGAAAGTACCACCACAGAAAAGAAAGTGAGCCAAAGGGGCGCCTGCCAATTTTCTCAGCAGAGTGCAACTTGTATTTTGGAGCTTCTTTCTATTTTTAAACCTTGAAGTCTAATCACCGAATGGTGCAGCAGGTGCCTCCCAAGACCGCGCTCAGTCTCCAATTATGTGAACAAGGAAAAAGTCCCTCTAGAACAGGAGGCCTTCTATTTTTAACTCACTTTCGGCAGGAGAAACAGACTCACACACAAGAAAAATACATTCAGGAACAGATTGATGGCTAACTGGTTTAGAAATCAGAAGACACTTTTTTCCCAACTATTATTCAAGATTATTCAACATGATTTGCTTGAGCGGGCCACAGAAAATGAGTGACGCCTTTTATATCTCCCATGTTTACATTACATGAAGTCAACAAAAATGTGGCAGCAATAATGATTGTTTCACAGACCAAAATGCTTTCTATTGTCCCGTGTTTCTGCAGATGATGGCATCGGCTGCAGGCAAAAGTGCCAACAAGAGCCTCATTTGTATCTGGGCCATCCCGAGTGGCGCTTGTCTGAGCACCATTTCCTACCACAGAGGGGCAGTGCAGAGTCTTGCTTTCTCCAAAGATGATCGCTTCTTGCTCTCCATTGGTTAGTGAGGACAAAAAAAGAAAAATCAATATTGCGGATGTTTTGTTCTTTTTGTCTTCACGCAACATCGACCCATACTCGTTGATCGCTGAAGCCCCAGCTAGCGTGTGGAAATCTGCGTTTTTATTCGCAAATTTATATTTCTACACACGGTAAATTGACTAAATGTAATGTGCTGGCATGTGGGAAAGGAGGGACACAGTCACGGACGCACTTATCGGGAACGAGAACGGTTCACCACAAACACAATGAGCCTGCAGTACCTCATCTTACGCCCATTCACATGTTGAATTGAGATGTCACTCCACCCCTCCAGGCCCCACCTCTAAAAGGCGCATGCTTCTCCACAGACACTACAATACGCACAATATTTTCTATACATGTCAAACTTGCAATTAGTGTGCGTGTGTTCAAATGTGTTCACAAAGCCCAATCCGCTTCTATTCACCGCCATGTTAGGAGACTTCTCAGATCCAACAGTGGCTGTGTGGAGCAGCAGCACCTTCCAGATGCTCGCCAGTGAGAGCGTGTTGGGGCCCATCCACGACGCAGCCTTCAGCCCATCTGTGGCCCACCAGCTGGCCTGCGTTGGCAGCCAAGGCGTTTACTTCGGCCTCTTCGACAGCCATGGCCAAGATGGTCATCTCAGCGTAAGCAACTTGCGGGGTCACTGCTTTGACCCCATCACAGTTGGCTCCTCTTTGGCCTAAAAAAAACCCCGCCTGACTTCATCCATGGCCACAGCTGGAGAGAGCGAGGGCACCAGTCGAGGTAGGCGATGTGGAGCTGACAGCTTTGTGCTACCATTCCGACTCCTTGCTCTTCAGCGCCACCAACCGAGGACACCTTTGCGCTTGGGACATCAAGACACAGAGCTGCTTCATGACATGGGAGGCTGATGAGGGAGAGATTGGTAAATAGTCGCGGTTCGTTTGTTGTTGCTTTTTACGTTCTAGATCAGTGATTCCCAACTACTGTGCTTTCAGAAACGATCACGTACTGCATGTCCCGGTACTCCAAATATGGGGATTGGGAATGATTTGTAGTTTGATGGAGTGTTATAAAATGAAAAATAAGTGCTTTGGCTGTTTCTGCAAAGGCAGTATTTACCTCTCACCTCTGGATAAAGGTGATGCATTTGTTAAGCTTTCCTGCACCGACAGGAAATCCTGATGCTTTTCATCATGTTGTTTGATGTTTTTTTTTAATCTTCCCCCCTCCTCTGAAGGTGTGTTGCTGTGTCGAGGGAACAGTCTATTGACAGGCAGCAACACCCACTGGCTGCGACTGTGGGAGGTGGAAGCTGTGCGGCGTATGAAGCCTCTGGGGAAGGTGTCCAGAAAAGATGGGTTTGTTGCGCCACCTAAGCCTTCATCGGATTCACATTATTTATATCCTATTATTTGTAGCTTCACCTCACATATCGACAAACAGCAGCAATGTAATCATGCATAGCAATTTGGTGTTTTAATTTGGACCGAACGCGTTGCCATGAATGAAGTGCTGTTGCTATGAAAGGGTTCAAATGTAGCGCATGTTATATCTGCAAAAAAACAAAACATTATTATTCAGACTGAAATGTTGCGTCGGAGAATACTCATAAAGGGCAGTTAAGGCCATTAGTATCATTGAACAAGAGGGCATTGTATTGAAAGCTGATCATTCATTTCAACATTTTACAGTAGCCAAGGACGTTAATGATTATCATATTTTGTCCTCCACCCTGTCAATTGCAAAAGGCTGTGACACTTACTTGTCTGCCACAGCGGTGCGTCGGTGGTGTTAAAGCGGGAGATAATGCTGGATGGAACCACTGTCAGCGCTGCCTTTGACCACACAATGGACATGGGCATCGTGGGCACCACCACGGGGACCTTGTGGTACATCGACTGGTTGGACACCAGCAGCATCCGACTGGTCAGCGGCCACAAGAACAAGGTAACGATGACAAATAAATGGCTGGATTTGTGAACTGCAACGATGCAATGGGAGTAGTGGACTGCTTTTCCCACACGGAAGTTAAAAGTGAATACAAATGTTGCGGCGCTGTGAGTGCCTGAAGACTCGCCCGCATCAGCCTCTCCTCACCGCTGACCTACTGCGGGGTTGAAGATTTCGTCGGAACATGCCGATTGCACACGTGCGTGGCCGAAAAAACAGCTCACGGCTCTTGCTGGTGGACCCATTGAAGCCAAAAATCAAAGAGGAAAAGCAGAACAGCTGTTATTATTGGGTCTCTTGACTTAACACCTGCTTTTGTTTTCAAATAAACTTGGCGTTACATTTTCCTGCTGAATTTGTTATCGACGTTTGATTGGAACCTGCTCTGCGGTCCAGGTGAATGATTTGGCCTTTCAGACGGATGAAAGCCACTTTGCCACTTGCAGCGAAGACGGCAGTCTCAGGGTCTGGTCGATCCCCAGCAATGAACTGGTGGTGCAGTTCCAGGTGCTGAACCAGGTGAGGCGTGAACGATTTGCAAACGTCTGAATTTTTCCTCGGCATTGCGATCAGGATTTTAAGATGCCACGATTTGTGATCGATCGCTTTTGTTGTTGGGTCCATTTGTGTGTGTTCTGCTCCGTTTCAGTCGTGTACCTGTGTGTGCTGGGGCCCTTTTCCAAGCGTGCAGCGCGCGCGCCTAGCGGCAGGATACGGCGACGGCACCCTGCGCGTCTTTCGACTCGCCACCTCTGAAATGGAGAGGAAGCTGCAACCCCATCGCGTTGCCATCACTGCCATCCAGTACTCTGTCAACGGTGAGAGCCGGGCGGGGCCTTGACACCTCTTAAGTTATTTCCATGCTGGTGTTCTCCTGTTTGGTCCGGTGGGCGCTTGTCAAAGACTTTGGACTAGAGACCGTTGGTGTTTTAATCAAGTGTGCTGTAATTAACTAGGTGACGTTATCCTCTCTGGCGGGAAGAATGGGCTCATAGCTGTCAGCCGTGCCTTGGATGGATCAACCATCCGAGTTTTCAGGGACCATAAAGGAGCAGCCATCACCACCATCCAGTGTGTTCGTGAGCAGGTTGGATATACACACGGTTAAATTGCACTTTGACAGATCCATCAAATGTGCTAATCATTCACACACACACTCCGCAATCATATCTGAACAATGCAAAAAAATGAGAGCAATAAATGGCGTGGAGTGCCGTGGAGAACACTTCGATTTTTAATCTGCCGCATATCTAACGAGCACCTCTTCAACTCTTTAATTAACGCCGTTGAAATTGGGATGTTCTTGTGAAGTGGCACTTGATTCTTCAGCCAGTGCTGTTGTCACGGTTTCTGCCTCCCTGCGGGGGTGAACTGCCTGGCATTTCCCTTTCTCTGCTCTCAGCAGCCGAGTTACACAATGTTCAGGATCTTTTGTGACACTTTTTGAACTTGTAAACAACGAGAGAAAAAAAAAACGTTTGGCGGAATTCTTCTCTTGACATTTTGTGACATTTTTTTCCCGGGCTGTTTGATGGTCTTCTCCCCAGTGTAAGGACTTTGGACTGGTGGGGAACGAACTGTGGTTGGCTGCCAGCGTTGACAGGCGAGTCAGTGTCTGGGCGGCCGATTGGTTCAAGTGCAAGTGCGCTTTACTCGACTGGCTCACGCTTGCTGCGCCGCCGTATTGCCAGGTACTTCCTCACCTCGCAGTACGTGGCAAAGAACAGAAAATGCCACTGAAAATGTCATGTGCTCTGAAGTAAGCTTTGCAAAATTAGTCGTTCCATTTACCAGCTTGGATATGTAGTTCCATCATATAATCATTGTAATAGAAGAAACAAAATGTATAGGATGATAAAAATTGCACCATTTTCCATGTTCCATTTTGATGCAATTCAAGACAATTAAAAAATAAAAGGAAGAATTTGATTTCTTTTCATCCCATGGACCCATTCACGACACCGTAAAGTACAAACGGTGTTGTCCCATCTATTTATTCTTGAACCCCTTAAGTCAGCCGACAGAAACCTAAAAGTTGTCTGCTAAATCCAATTTTAATGGAGATATTTGCTTCTTACAAGGGAACCTTTTCAGAGAGACACCATTGACTCATATGTGCGCTACGTGCTCATGTTTGGCCACTTCTAACGAGACCTTGGTTTCATTGTCCTGCATCGCATTCTTCACCCCCAATCGCTTGTGTTGTATTGCAGGATGACAGCCCGCCCCCGAGCCTGGCTGCCTTCTGCCCGACAGACCCCAGCCTGCTCATCTACACTGGTTACGGGATAGAGAAAGAGTTGATTTTCTACAGCCTCTCGAAAAAAAGGGTACCTGTCTTTCTTATCTGAGCCTCCGTTGCTGACTGGCTGATCAGTAACATTACATATATTTTTTTATGTACTTGTACAAGATCATCAAAAAGATTGCTTTGCCTCACTGGGCCACATGCTTCAGCCTCTCTTCCAAGAGTCAACTCATAGCGTTGGGGTCAAAAGGTAAAGTGTCGCTCAGAAGCCACACAAAGTTCAAGGATGTTTGCAACGATAATCTGACCGCTTGCCTGACCTTTGGTCGTCCTTCCAGAACGAGTGTTGAAGCTGATCAAATGGACCAGCGGCAAGTTCCAAGACTTCTCACAGCACAGCGACTCGCTGCAGACGTGTCGTTTCTCGCCCTCAGGGACACTCCTCTTCTCTGTGGCTCATAATGAGATTCTGCTGTGGGAGGTGAACGGCCTCTGAGAAGCCGCTTTGGTTTTTTTGTTTTGGGTCCCCCCAAGTTCAAACCTTGTAGGTTTGTGCCCATCCACGTGTCTATGCCTTCTCATCTTTTGTATTTTTAGGATACATTTTGAGGGAAAATAGCCCAAAGTTTAGGTCACTTTGCTGTACATTAATATGTAAATAGTGTTTAGGCACTTTCATTTAGTTTTTTTTTTTTTTTTTAATTGCACGTATGAGCCAACAGGGGATTCTCCTTTTTGTTGCTCCTCAGAGTTGAAATATAAGAACGTGAAAAATATTTCATGTTCCAGAATCCCTTTTCCCATGATGGGACAAAACCAGGGTGCTGGCTGGAAACAAGCCCTGCCTCCTCCTCCACTGTTTTCTCGACGCATTGATACAAACATTTCAGATGATCAAAAGCTGATCTTGGAGTTAACGCGTGTCAGCTCTCATTTTCAAAAAGTGAAGCCTGATGCATAACAAAAAGTCAAGGACAGAAATAATCACGTGAATAATAATCAAGTGAATTTGATGCCATTTTATTTTGTTTCGTTTTTGTCCGGTGGTTCTTAATTACAATAAACTGAGGCCTATCCGAGTTGACTTTTGGGCGAGAGGCAGGCTGGTTGCCAGCCAACAACCATTCAGACCTATGGACAATTTAGGAATCATGTCGGAGGACAATGGAGTACCTGGGGGAAGCTTATCTTGGAGAACATGCAAACCCCACACAGGAAGGCGGACATGAGATTAGAATCTTGAATCTCCTGTGGGGCAGATGTGCCTAACCACTTGCAACACTGTGCTGCTCAGTTTCTACACAAAGACTCTTAACGGGTAAGTGAATCCACAGATTTATTTGTGTCATTTTTTTTCAGTGTTGCAACCTTCAGCATGTCCCTCCGTCGACACACCCAGTCACTGGAATTATATTTTTTTTTTCTTTTGTTTTTTAACACGGAATTTGAAAATTATTCAGTTTGCCCCCTCCACAGTGAGGTACTTTTAGCTTTTAATTTTTATTTGTATCCAGTTTGCCAGATTGTTTTTAATAGGGTTTGTCACATTTAATGTAGTCGTTTTGTGTATAATTAAAACCGTCGACACACCGAGTCACTGGAATTATACTTTTTTTTTTGTTTTTTAACACAGAATTTGAAAATTAATCAGTTTGCCCCCTCCACAGTGAGGTACCTTTAGCTTTTAATTTTTATTTGTATACAGTTTGCCAGATTGTTTTTAACAGGGTTTGTCACATTTAATGTAGTCGTTTTGTGTATAATTAAACAACGATTTAGTACAAGAACGAATATTAAAATATTTTTAACTGTCCGGTCTATTACAACGGAACCGTGTGTAGTTTTCGGTGTGTCCCGCAGAGGGCGTGTTTTCGCGCTCATCCTTTTGAACCGGAAATGTACGAGTTCACCTTGTGTGGAAAAATTACAGCGGAGGCGAACGTTCGTGTTCGGTTTTCGCGAGTTTTCAAATTCAAATGAAAGACAAATGTCCCCGTAGCGTCGCGTCGGGTCTGGCTGTTGTTCGAACAGGGGGGCAACATGAAACAGGACGTGAGGATACTTTTGCTGGGGGAACGTGAGTACAGTTTGGCGCTCTGATGACGGCTGACAAACAGTTAGCCGATTAGCAAACATTCGGCTGGGGCGAACTAACTTAGTCAACTTGAAGGTTCTTGATCCAAGGTGCAGGCGGAATGTTGTAGGAAATGTGATTCTGATGTCAACGTCGATAACTTGGCAGCCTAACTCTAGAATAGTTTTGTATCGACCTCACGCTAAAACTTTTCCTGCATTTGTTGTTTCGATAAGGAATGGAATTCAGTTGGTTTAATGAATTATTTATAATTATTTTTTAAGAATTTAAGATAAGAAATGGCTGGGGCGAACTAACTTAGTCAACTTGAAAGTTCTTGATCCGAGGTGCAGGCGGAATGTTGTAGGAAATGTGATTTTGATGTCAACGTCGATAACTTGGCAGCCTAACTCTAGAATAGTTTTGTATCGACCTCACGCTAAAACTTTTCCTGCATTTGTTGTTTCGATAAGGAATGGAATTCAGTTGGTTTAATGAATTATTTATAATTATTTTTTAAGAATTTAAGATAAGAAAACCTTTATTTGTCTCACAATGGAGAAATTCCCATTTGTCTCGTGAAATAGTTTAAATGTGTACTTAATTATTTCATGGGTATTTCATTAAATACTAACGGATACATTAGCTATAAATGACGAAATAAAACAACGATCATGTGTAATTAATATATTGTGATGTATGTCGATTTGATTCCATTGTCACCTCCCCCCAATTCTCGCGCTCAGCCATGGTGGGGAAGACTTCCCTCATCATGTCTCGTGAAATAGTTTCAATGTGTACTTAATTATTTCATGGGTATTTGTATTTCATTAAATACTAACGGATACACTAGCTATAAATGACGAAATAAAACAACGATCATGTGTAATTAATATACTGTGATGTATGTCGATTTGATTCCCATTGTCACCTCCCTCCAATTCTTGCGCTCAGCCATGGTGGGGAAGACTTCCCTCATCATGTCCTTGGTTGGAGAGGAGTTCCCCGAGGAGGTCAGCATCTGCCCAATCCTCCTCTCATCATCTGCTCTCTCGCTGAGTGCAGTGTGATGTGACTTTAATATAACATTTGTACTCCCATTTTGGAACCGCCGATCTATGGTGACTCACAGGTTCCGTCTCGAGCTGAAGAAATCACCATCCCGGCTGATGTCACTCCAGAGAAAGTGCCTACACACATCGTGGACTACTCGGGTACCTTGACATGCGGCACAATCTGCAACATTATAATAATTGTATTTAGTATGTGTTTGGAATTTTGTACAAATTTGCTTATTGTTATCGTCCAATATCCTTGACAGAAAAAGAGCAGAGTGATGAGACCCTAAGAGGAGAGATTCTCAAGGTGAGTACATAGATGGATGTGGAGGGCGATATAATAGATCCCCCAAGTATTAAGCATGGATTATTAAATAATGTCATCCCACATAGGCCAATGTGGTGTGTGTAGTCTACGATGTCACCAACGAGGACTCAATAGAGAAGGTAGTTTTTACATTCACGAGTGCTTTATATTAATTTGCTTGCATATGAATCGGAAAATGCCAATTACGTTCTGTGATGGTTTTTTTTTTTTTTTTTTTTTTTCCAAGTCAAAAAAAAATGGAAACCTTTTGTCAATGGGTTTGCTTATTGTTATCGTCCAATATCCTTGGCAGAAAAAGAGCAGAGTGATGAGACCCTTAGAGGAGAGATTCTCAAGGTGAGTACATAGATGAATGTGGAGGGCGATATAATAGATCACCTAAGTATTAAGCATGGATTATTAAATAATGTCATCCTACATAGGCCAATGTGGTGTGTGTCGTCTACGATGTCACCAACGAGGACTCCATAGAGAAGGTAGTTTTTACATTCACGGGTGCTTTATATTCATTTGCATATGAATCGGAAAATGCCAATTACGTTCTGTGATGTTTTTGTTTTTTTTTTTTCCCCAGATCAAGACAAAATGGATACCTTTAGTCAATGGCGATGCAGAGAAGGGAAACAAGTATGTTATCAACTTTGGGAGAAGTGGTCAATGTGAGGTGCTGTTGCATTAGCCTCTCTTTTTTTTTTTTTCTCCCCATTTTGTTTTTGTAATCACATCAGAGTTCCAATCATCCTTGTGGGAAACAAGTCCGATCTACGTTCGGGCAGCTCCATGGAAACCATCCTCCCCATCATGAACCAGTTCTCTGAAATTGAAACGTGTGTTGAGGTAAACTTAACCTGCCCTTCTGCACCTTCCATTCAAATAGTTACCTGTGCCTCAGCTGTTCATGCGCTGTACTATTTGCTTTGTTTCCCCTCAAGTGTTCTGCTCGGAATCTCAAAAACATATCAGAGCTGTTTTACTATGCCCAGAAGGCAGTCCTCCATCCCACCGCCCCTCTGTACGACCCTGAGGACAAACAGGTCGGCTGTTTTTTAATGAATGAATTCCCAGTTTCCTTCATTTCAATGAGTGGTATTAAGTGACTTCATTTTCTCTCCGGCAGCTCAAACCTCTGTGCGTCAGAGCGCTCAGTCGAATTTTTTACATCTCCGACCAGGACAACGACCGCATCCTCAGTGACGCTGAGCTCAACTGTTTTCAGGTGCTCATCACAAGCTTTCACCGCCACATGTTCCAGTTTGAAGCAAAGGCAATCGAATGTATTTTTAGTGATTTATTTTTTAACCTTCCATTAGAAATCCTGTTTTGGAAATCCACTGGCGCCACAAGCCTTAGAAGATGTCAAGACAGTTGTCTGGAAAAACACCAGTGATGGAGTGCTGGACAATGGCCTGACCTTAAATGGTAAATAGTAGGGATGATGTCATGTACATCCAATCCACACGCATGCATGGCTTGAATGCACACGCACTACTAAATACTGCTACAACTAAATAGGTTGTAAAGTTTGTAAAATGTTGCATTGGTGAATATTTGTAGATTTTGTATTTTATCTTGCCGTTTTATAGAAGATAAAGACTGTTCACATGTTTGAAAACAAACAATAACATAGATTAATGGAATTTTTTTTTTTTTTTACATCGTCACTCACTGCTAAGCACTCTCATTTTCTAGGTTTCCTGTTCCTGAACACATTGTTCATCCAGAGGGGCCGACATGAAACCACATGGACAATCCTCAGGAAGTTTGGTTACGATGACAACCTGGAACTGACTGACGATTACCTTTACCCCGCGTATGTCAGCTGATGTTTCTGCTGCTCTGTTGCAGTTTTTTTCTAGGGTGTGTGTGTGTGTGTGTGTGTTTGTATTCACTCGTCACACATTGTTCAAGCTTGTTTTTGTCACGGCAGCCTCCGGGTTCCTGCGAGCTGTACCACTGAACTCAATGATTTAGGTCACCAGTTCCTCCAGCGGCTGTTTGAGAAGTATGATGAAGTGAGTAAGGATCTCGACTGATAGTTATATCAGGACTGGGAATGGATCCAATGGTCATATTAATTCGTCTCAGTGCTTCGCTATCTTTTATAGCTTGAATAGCAAATTGCAATGGATGCAAAGGTTCACTGTACCAATGTGAAGTCTTGGCTTTGGGCTTTTTTTTTTTTTTTTTTTTGCACTACTTTAATATGCATTTCCCCTCTCAGGATAAAGACTCTGCGCTGTCACCCGCAGAGCTGAAGAATCTGTTCTGCGCTTGTCCATACATGCCGTGGGGCGCTGAGGTCTATATGACGGTCCCGACAACCGCCGAGGGTTACATCTCTAATCACGGCTACCACTGTCAGTGGAAGTACGTGCTCACTTTGTGAGATGATTTTTGTTTTCAGTCTCCACTCGATCATTTGAGCTTCTTTCTCTGGTTTCTTCGTTCGCATGCAGGCTTTGCGCTTATCTCGACATCCACCGTTGCCTGGAGCACCTCGGGTACCTCGGCTACCCTGTCCTCATGGAGCAGGAGTCACAGACTGCTGCGGTCTCAGGTGTGCATGTGTTTTTCTTTGCCTAGGGTACTGATTTATGTCCATGACAGAAATGCAAAATGAAGGGCAGTCACTAAGAACATGATACATGCTCCGTGTAACAACAATCCTAGTAAGAGGATTATTAGTGTGGATCTCATACACAGTAGCCGAACAGATCAACCTACATATAACCGTCCTTGAGGTATGACGCCATCTACAAATGTTGACTCATTTGTTGAAATAGGATACTTTCAAGAGTGGTTCCTCACCTCTGTTGAGCCAAGTCATGTGTTGAATAGATTCAATCCAAAATTAACAGAATACGCCGTCGGGAATAAATGAATACAATTCCATAGAACAACAGTGCTTCTGGTGGTGTTTCGGTGCTTATCTGTGTTACTACTTTTTCCTGTTCAAAAAGCACGTGTGTAGTGTTCATTTGCAATGTTAGCCCATTTCTTGATGTTTTGGTTACGTTTAATCTTTGCTGTTGTCCAAGCGCAGTCACGAGAGAAAGAGAGGAGGACCTGGAGAAGCGCCAGACGCAGCGTTCAGTCTTCCTATGCAAGGTGATCGGACAGCGGGGGACGGGCAAAACGACTTTTCTGCAGGCCTTCCTCGGCCGCAGCTCTGTGGTAGGATGCCATCTGTTAGCCGGGGCCGTGAACTGCCGAGCTGCGGTCTCACCGTTGTGTTCCGTTGCTTGACTAGAACAACCTGGGCGGCGGCAGTGCCTTTTCCCCCTTCGCCATAAACACGGTTCAAGTTAGCAATCAAGAGAAGTCCCTCATCGTAAGTAGCCGCGTCCCTCAAATGGATGACGCTGTCCGAGTGTTGACCGTCCCGGTCGTGTCGTGTGCCGCAGCTCAACGAGGTGGACGTGGAGGCGGACTTCCTGAAGGCGTCGGACTCCCACTGCGACGTGGCTTGTCTCATGTACGACGCCAGTGACCCACATTCCTTCGACTACTGCGCCAGCATATACAAGGTATTCCAATGATGTCATCATCCAACAAACAACAAACGTGAATGAAAACCAGTGTATATTTAAACAGCGGAATGTTGACTAAACTGTTGTTTAGTCCCCCCACCTTCCCGTGATCACCTTTTCTGTTGCAATTTGTTTGGATTCAGCAACACTACATGGAGAGCGACATCCCGTGTGTGCTGGTGGCCTCCAAGCACGACCTCCCCGAAGTCAAGCAATTCCATGGAGTGACGCCGGCCGAGTTCTGCTCCAAACACAGACTGCCTCAACCGTTGCCCTTCTCAATCACGTTTCCCCAATCCGACGCCAAGAACGTCTTCGCCAGACTTGCCTGGGCTGCCGTGTACCCGTATGTTGCACATTGCTCCTCGCCACTGCTCGTACCTTAAATGAAAACTCAAGATAGTCAAGATCCAGCCTTAAGGGAAAACGAGTCAGTCAGTTTGTTGCCTTTGTTGTTAAGTCTGCCCTCTTTTTGTGTTTCTCCTCCGCAGACACCTGAATGGCTCAGACATGAGCAACACGTCGTTTTGGCTGAGAGTGGCGTTGGGCTCGGCTGTGTTTGCGGTTGTGGGTTTTGCTTTTTACAGAATGGCTGTCAGACTGAAATGAGCCGGAACCAGCTGGCTTTTCTGTGTGTTTGTCACTCCAGCCGTACTGATCCAGATTGTAATCTGCCCCGGTGTGTGTTGGGACTGTCCTGATGTGTCTCAACGCAGTGTTGTGATCCTGACAGTTGCTTTTTTTTTCTGCCATATGCAACGTTTTTATGCCTTACCTTTGCCTAGTGTGATGTCCGCTTGATGCATTGATTCCACAAACAATAATTGATGTCCCAACGGGCGTGCTGTCAAAATGGACTCGAGACGTCTTTTATCAATTGACTGTTAATGAGATTGAAATGTTTTTATCGCACATGCAAGCGTTTCCAAAACGGGATTCAAAGTGAATGCCAAATAAACTGGGCTGCATGTTCGAGATATCTGCAGATCCCCGACTCCAACTTAATTTTCACCACAGGTACGAGATGGTTTCGCCTTAAGTTTGCCTCACTGTTAAGCGGCAACTAGTGATCGCATATTCAATGCACCTTCGACAAGCCCTTTGCCCTGAGAACGCGGCGTTGGCCTTGGCTCTTATTGTTGCCGTGAGGCCTCTGATAAAGAAGAAATTGTGAATTGAGCATGTTGGTTCATTTTACTGCCCGTGAGATTTACTTGCGATAAACAACTGACAGCTTTTAAGAATGGCAAGAAAAAGTAGTCAAATGAGCTGGATCCCCTGCTGTTTCTTCTTTTTTTTCATGTATTTGATGTTAGGTTTTTCAAAATAAAAGTGAACTGTTCTCAACGTGCTCAATAAAAGAACACCACAGCGGGCGGGCGAGCAGCCCTCTCCCACTGCAGGCATGCCTTGGATTGTGGTGCTTCCATTCGCAGAAGCTGACGTCTGTCTTCACCATTTCCCCGTAAGTGTCAACATGCTTAATTAACGCTTATTGATAACTGTCAACTGTCAGTGAAAGTTCCTCCAAACCGCCAGAAGAGAGCAGTGTGGATTTCGTTTTGACAGGTTGGCCATCCTCATCCGGGGGCGTGTGCGTGGAGTCTTCACAAGTGATCTGCAGTCAAAGTAAGTCATTATGTTCTCATATGTTAACAAAACGAGATGAGTGGCTGAAACAGGTTTTCCATGTAACAGCATCTCCCTACAATTCTTGTTTTTTTTTTCCCATGCAAACACCATTTTCCTCTTGATTCTTCAAAGTGTGTTGTAAAGACTATAAATAGGCCGAGTGTAATAGTGTGGACAGATTAAGTGCATAATATATTTCAAATCAGTAGCCACGTTACACCGCCTTGATTCTTCATGCTTTTCGATACAACCACAATCTACTCTGCAGGCGCGTCTACCACAAATGAAAATATGTCATGACGGATGCTTTATTCGTCCAATGGGACATGTCAATTGTCACAGCAGCAATATATATGCACTTGTTGCGCGTTAAACCTTCCCCGCTTGTGTGAGTTTGACAAAGAACTTTTCAAACACATTCTCTTCGGTTTTATTGGGTGATGAAGCGACATTAATGAAAAGGGCGAGGGGGGTAATTCGCACAAGAGGATGGATGGAATGAACAGATCCATTACAGTAAAGCACAAGAACCTCGAGAATGTCACTAGGGATCAGCGTTGTCACAAGCACAATGTTAAATGCCAAGATGATCATTTCCAGTGCTCTCAATAAGTTTCGTCCATTTGGTGGTGCAGGTGAGAGCGAGTAGAAGTTTGCATGGAATCTTACAAAAATAAGACATATACGAAAAAGGTGTCCTTTCAGGAATATTTACACGGCCCGTTCCGATATTGTCCCGTCACTTTCTTTTGGCCGCTTTAACGGCTTTCTTTGCGGGCTTGGCTGCCCTTTTGACCGCTTTGGCTTTGGGCTTGGCCGCCTTCGCCGGCTTGGTCTTTTTCTGCACGGCCGCTTTCTTCACTTTGGTCTGCGTGGCCTTCTTGTTCACCTTGACCGCCTTGGTCTTCTTGGGGGCCGCTTTCTTGGCCTTCTCCGGCGCCTTGTTCGCCTTCTTGGGCTTGGCCACCTTCCTGGGTGGCTTAGCTGACGCTTTTGTGGCCTTCTTGGGTTTGGCCGCGGCCGGCTTCTTGGTGGGCTTTTTGACGTCGTCGGGCTTGTTGAGTCGGAAGGATCCGGACGCTCCGATGCCTTTGGTGTGGCGCAGCATCCCGGACGCCAGCAACCGCTTGAGGGCCAACTTAATCTGGGCGTCGGCGTTGTCGCCTACCTTGTAGTTTTTGCGGACGAACTTCTGGATGGATTGACGGGACGCTCCGCTCCGGCTGGCGTCGTGCGCGATGGCCGCTTGTATCATGTCCGAGTACTTGGGATGCGAAGCCGGCTTCTTGGGCTTGGGCGCTTTCTTGGCTTTGGCCGGAGATGCCGATGTCTCTGCCATGCTTCTTTCTTTTAGTTTTCTTGAGATTTATTTTTCGCGGCCAAGTTCAAGCGCAGACACAGAAAAACTCGTTTGTGGCTCGGCAACGAAACGACGCACGCACGCACACCACACACAAAAAAAGCTTCGCTTTGGGGAAAAAAAGAATTCCAAAATACGTCACTTTTCCTTGCCCAAAACAATATCTGACTTGTCCACGGAGAAAGACGATAACGGACAGAGAATGTCTTAAGTGTCTAATTCCACAGGCGCTCCGGCGGCACTATGAAGCCTCTCTGCGGACGTGATTGAGAACAGCAACTGCCAGCAGCTGATGTAGCGGACTCCGCGGAACTGGCGCTGTCCCGTTTGTGTTTCTTCGCCGTCCAATTCGCATTAAATATAACAACTGCGCGCCGGTTGCGACCCACGCAACATTACGGGCCGATAGCAGAGGCATTGGGCTTCCCCCGCACACGTTCGCCGCGTCTCGCCACCACCGAAGAACAACTTTTATTCCGCGAAAACCGGCTCGAAGTCACACGCGCCGCCAACAATTTTGCACAATTCGCCTTAAATTGACCCAAACGGACGGAACCTCTGGGAAAATTTCGTCGCGCATATGAAAGATGAATCTGTGCTCTATCGATTGCACGCAATCGGCTCGAACCACGGTTCCGTTTTCGCTTTTAATACATGCTTACATTTTGCCAACTAACACAGTCCGGCCACTGACTTCAAGTGACGTGCCCGAGATTATTTACTGTTAAACCTCGTATAAATGAAATGTCACCGTGTCCGACTCACGGATACCCCTCGTAGGGATAGCGTGGCTTCATTTGTGTCGCGACACGGTGATTTGGGGAGCCCGGAGCGCAGCTTTTGGATCGAATTGTTTACATTTGTCACTACGGCAGTCGGCGCTCCGTCGCCATTGTCAGGAAAGTTGCCAACACATCCCAGCGTGACATGCTTGGGTCGTGGGTGCGACAAATACTCCTTTGATTTCAAGTGGGGGGACGCGATTGTGCAGATGTGGATCCAGATGCAAACGGGGGCTGCAGCCCCGAAAGTAAAATCTTTGACTTCGGGACGAGGTGCTTCTTTTGTTTCTGAACTGGCGCATCAGTCAATCAGCCTTTGGACGTGGGGCTTTTGTCCAACATTTCAAACACTCTGCTATCTTTTGGGAACACGATCAGCATTCAATTCCGCAAATGTCGTCGTTCCACCGCTTTTATTGTCATTTTTTTGTGTGTATGTGTGCGAGCCAGTCTCTCTCCCCGTAGCGCCATTTTGTCCCAGCCGACGTTGTCGCGCATTTCCCCGCTAGACGTGACTTTTGCGTCATTTGACACCGATTAGTCGCTCATCACTTGAAATGAGTAAGTCTTAATTGTAGGAGGCAACATCACACAAACACATGGCTGCTCTTTTGGCGGAAGGTGAGCCTGTGCACCTGAAAGCAGCCGAGTGTCCACTTGCAGTGTTTGTTGGAAACACATGTGTGGCTGTATGAGGCATCATTAGAATTTTCGTGGCGGGTTGTTCATTCAGAGAGTTGTGCACCATCATTAGAAGGTGTGTGTGTGGGGGGGGGGGGTGAATCATTAGTCGTGGTGATGATGGTAAAAAGCATATTAGCCCACCATGGCTGCATGCGTACCTAGAGCAGCGTGTCTTGTGCACGCCACAGAGCGATTGCTCTACTAATGCATTTAGCTTTTCAATAGCCGACCCTCGGTATGATTTTTGCCTCAGCCTGCCCGGGCTGATGAGCTCGGTTCTGGCCGGTAGAGGCAGTCGCTTGTGTGTGTGTGTGTGCGTGTGTGTGTGTGTGTGTGTGTGTGTGTGTGTGTGTGTGTGTGTGTGTGTGTGTGTGTGTGTGTATATGTAAATAAAAGCAATTTTATATATTTCTTTATCGTTCTCTTGTGTCTTGAAAGACACAATTTGGATCAGTTATCAACACCTCAGCGGTCATGCATTGAGCTGCCACGAGTGCCAAGTTCAGGCGGATCAAAGCGAGAACGAGGTGTCGACACGCACGTCCCGAGTATTACAACGCTTGTCTGTCAGTGGCGCGCTTGTCGTGCGAGTTTGTTCCCATCCGTTCGATGCGCTGAATGAAGCACAGGTGTCAGGGGCCAAATGCTCTGTCGACAGCTGCAGACCCTCCAACAAAGGCCTGTCAGCCGGGCCCGCAGTTGACCCCGTGGCTATGTTAGCCGCAGCTAACTATTTGCGCAACTTTAGCTGTCATTTCAGTTCTACATGACAACCCTGGACACATATGCAGACACGCGCACAATCTTCCAGAGCATGCTCGCGCCATCAGTCCACTGGGAAACCGGCAGAGGGGCCTCTCGAAGCTATTGTGAACCATGATGCACTGCGACGTTAGGGTCTTTTCCTGAACGGTACTTAGACGTAGAGCACGTTTGATTTGGCTGTTTGACATATCGCTCTTGAAGAATGCTACATTTAGCTCTAATCCCAACTTTAACCCTTGCCCCTTTAATACTCGAGGATTTAGTGAGTGCCACAACGTGAGGGGTTTGACCCCTGCGGCAGCATTTCGCTCACCGGCCGCCATGTTAGGTACACCTGCATACTCAAACGACAGCCCCAAATATTAGAAAAAAAAAACATTGCACTTCCACACGGCTGCAAAGTACAACTCCAAAAATCAACCTATTCATGTCATTCTTGTTTACGACACAGATGAGATTTGGGATTCCTTCAAGCAGTCGTTGGCCTTTTTGAACGCCTCACTGTACTTACTCCTCACTTGTTTTTACGTCCAGTCCCTACATTGACGCCATAAAATCTCTCTCTAAACTTTTACACCCAGCAGTTGCCACATTTGGTCTGCCGTATTTCACTCCATTACCTAGTTATAGCTTGCAGCGGCGGCTGCCGGCACAACAGAGAGCAGTAGCCACGAACAGTAAACAAAAGGAAAAAGACTTCCTGCCAGGTAGAGATTTTGCAACACTGAAGAGCAAAGGAATGCTTCCCAAAAGTGCAATGTCGGCGCTGTCAAATGCTGGTGGCTTCACGTCCATCTGAATGATTTCCAAAAGGAAATAGATTCAAGGAAGTGCGTCGTCAAAGATGGCAGGAAAAAGTTTTGCTCTGGCCAAGCAGTCACAAGATGGAAAAATGTTGACATCGTCATGGGCCAGTGTGGTCCTTGCGAGGATAAACTGTTTCAAGAATCACTTCTCTTGCTCCTCTAGTTTAAATTACAAGGGCCACCTTGTCTGATTCTTAGGACTCCGGCCTGGTAGATTATTGTCACGGCAACACAAAAAGGATGATAATCTGATTGGACAACAAAACAAAAACTAGCATCCACTTGTACAGTGAGCAGTACATCCAAGAAAAATGCTACAAAATGAAGAAAGTAGATAGTCGGGAATAAATTTATTCCATTGTCCCTGACGGCAAAAAAAACAAAACAAAAAAAAAAAACAACGTGGGATGTTGGTTTATTTGGAAGTGAACAATAACGTGCGTGAACATGCTGTGCCACTAGAGGTCGCTCCTGACTTGAATCTTGCCGTGTGTGGCAGAACCAACCAAAGCGTTGGCTCTGCCGCTTTGGTTGGACCAAACCAGAGGTTCGGGTGCAAAGTGGCACAGGTTTGCCAACAAACAGTCAGTGGAATCGATTCTTACATCAGAGGATTGGATGATCAATCCACTCAACAGCCTGTTGATGTTCCCCTTGACTTTTGAGTCAACCTCCTTCCCTTCCCCGCTTTGTGATCCCCAAGAGGATTTCTATGTGGAGCAGTTTACACGGAAACGATGCCATTCGCTGACCTGATTCATACATCTGCCTTGATGAATTTCGTCCCTCCCCTCCAATCACGTGGCCGTTTGTATTTTGCATGGCCAAGAAAGGTTAGGGACAAAGTGCACCGAGCCCTGAAAACAATTGGGCCAATGACGACATGCTAATATTGGATTGTTATATAAGCGACGGTCATTTGTTTTCAGGGGACTCTTGTTACCGTCTCATCAAATCTTGGTTTCCATTTCTTTCTTCTTATTTCAGCGCGGCAGACTTTCTCTCTTCTTCGCTCGGCTCACTTAATACATTTTTAATGCGGCAAACCTTCTCAGTTGCTGTCAGCTTGATAGATGGCCAGATTGTTTCCAAACACAAATGCACCAAACCGGCACCTCCCTTCCTCCGTGCTTCTCTCTCTCTCTCTCCCACCCTTGCATTCAGGTTAAGCTACAAAGCTAATGAGGGGAGCACAACCCCTGAGTCATGCGTTGGCCAAAGTGCATTCCCGAGCATTTAGTTTTGGGCAGATTGTATCAGGCCGTAGATGCCAAACTTAGCCCATATCATCGTTATGGTTGCCCTCGGAGGGGGCCAGTTATAAACCACATCAATGTTTAATCGCGAGGGCTGTAACCCTGCACCAAAAATCACAGTCCGGTTAAGGACTGTGGTTTTAAAGTCCCTGTAAAGGGAAAATAAATGCCTCGTAAGTTTGACACAACACCGAGAAGGGTATTGTGAAGCCATCTTTTCTTCTGCCTCCACATAGTCGTGTGTTTGAGCTGTGAGATTTTATCGCCATAAAGATTCCAGTGGCTGCAATATAGTCCAAGGGCTTTTCCACGGTGTGACAACAAGGCGCTCTAGTGCAAAAGCCCCTGTCCACACACTGGCCGTCAAGTCGGACTTTTTAAAGATTTTCCTCCTTCCTTGCTCTTTTGTCCATCCATGCATGATGTGTGTGCACTGAGTGCCAACAACGAGGCACTCTAAACTGGCCAAACCAGGGGACTATCTGAAGGGAAGAAACATTTTTGGCGTATCGGTATGAATGGCTGGTTAGCTTGTCATCACAGCTGCAATATCCTTTCCATGTGCCGTGCCGTTTGAAAACACCACCCACCTATAAGCGCAAGACCTTCGGCAGGGGAGGAAAAGTGAACGCCGGCAGTCTAATTAATGCGTTCTGCCGCTCTGTCTCCCTGTAAGGCCTCGTTAGCCTTGCCCGTCTCCCACGCACGAGCTAAACCGCTGTTTTGTTTGATCGCGGGGCAGACGAGGATTTAAGTGAAATCCAAGGCAGACCACACAGTTGTTGACACTTCGGCGTGTTCCTGTAAGGCTCATCATTTCAGTCAGTCTAATGGTAGAGGTGGCGCTGTGATGTCAGACGCTTCTTATTTTTGGACCAGGGGCTTTTGCAGTCACTAAATGTTTGGTGGCTACTTAGGACTGGCGAGTCCAATCACTAAATTATAACGAAGCCTAAGTGTGCTACAATTTTGTTGCTCAAACAGGCAGTGGTTGCGTTTATGTCTCTGAGCCAGGAGTTGCAAGTTGGTGGGGAACGCAACCAGGTAACCGTGGAGAAGACACAAAATAGTTTATCATTTTAATTTCGGCGAATGTCACGATCGTGTCACAACCCCGACGGTGTCTTCAGAGCGCTCCTTCTTTTATGACTTTGGATTTACGTGCCTCAACGGAGGGACGGTATAAAAAAGCCCAACAACAACCCGGTGCGATGTATTCCAGCCCATTGTATTTTGTAGCTCAAATGCCGTATGCAGTTTTGAGTAGGCATAAGAAAGATGCTACACAAAAGTGCTAATATCCATTTTCCCAAGTGGTAGCAGTGGCATTTCATTGACAGTTGAGAGAGGCGTAATTGCGCTCTACTTTTAAATTGTCATTGCGAACAGTGATATCCTTTTTCCCTGCGGGCCTTGAATGGTCAGCGAAGCATCCAAACAAGCAAACGCTTGGCGTGAACATGCTCAACGGTGCTTTGAGTATGTCGATGTTGTCCGTCGTTTATAATTAGCCAGGCGCTTGCAGAGCGGACTCATGATAAAGCGCCGTGTCAAATTATCTTTGTGATGTTCATGGTGGCGTCGATCTGCAAGCTTAACGACCGCGCTTTGGAGGATTCGTCTCTACCAAAAGCGTGCTTGCGCCTGTGGAAAAAAAAATTCTCGCGTCTTGTATGTGGCGTCCGTCAGTAGTAAGCCGCAGTGGAGCCCATGCCCTTCTCCCTCCCCGAGACTCCAAATGTGCCACTCCTTCGCCTTTTCCCATTGGAAGAGCGAGGCCACCTCCCTCCCCTGGCTCATTTGTATGCATGTGATGATGCGGTGTGTGTGTGTGCATGTGTGTGTGTGCGCGCACGTTTTAAGTGTGAGTGTGTGTGTGTTGAGAGAGGCAGGAGCAGTCAGTGCGATGGGATAGAGGCGGAGGAGAGTGAATGAGAGCTGCGTCGGAGTGCCTGCTGAAGCTGGCCCGAGCCTCCGCCGCCAACAGCGAGCCACGTTTGCATGCGCTCCAAAGACGGAACCCGGAGCAAGAAAAACTACAGCGGGAATTACAAGTGAGGCACAGTCCACAGGCTCGAGCAAAAATCCCACCGCATCCTTTTTACTCTTCCTCAGCAACGCCGCCGCTGCCTCTTGCCGCTGCTTCCCCCCCACCCCTGATGCCCTTGTCCTCGGCGGCTCCTCTCACCACCCTGGCCAGTATATGGATAGAAGCTCCTTTTTTCAGCTCATACAAGAGCAGGTAAGCGAGAAGCAGCGGCGGCGGTGGGGATGGCGGTGCTGGTTTCTATGGTTACGGGCTGCCAGAGGCTGACACCTCACTCGCCTATCCAGGGAGGGAGACGCGCGGCTTTGATCAATCCCGATGGCTGATGTTGGAATTGCGGTCCGATTGATGGGGGCGGGGGGGGGGGGCTGTCTGCGGAATGAGTGTCAGACAACACGCCGCATCATGGAGCCATGTGGGTCCCGACGTTGTGAGGTCAGAGCGTGAAGGTGGTGGTGGGGGAGCGAACGGGGACTAACATGACGGCGGGAGAAAGGCTTGCAGGCAAGAAGCGTGTGAGCTGGTGGACAAAACGATGACAATGGTGAGCATGTCATCTCCGTTGACGCATGTGATTGTTATTTCGAATGGAAGGGGCTTGTGTCTTGATTGACTGGGTGACTTCTCCTTGGAGGGGGCGGGAGGGGAATAAAAACCCTGCAGGTTGCATTGTTTTTGCTGTCCAATCAGGTTGTCGGTTGTCAATTAGCTTTCTTCTACCCCGATAGATCCCAAACCTGAAACCGACTATGTTGGTAGGCTTGCACATTTCATTTCAAGACCGGTCCGTATTTTAACTGCTGCTTTGGAATCAGGCTCCGGCTTGATTGACACATGGAAGAGTGCAGCCATTCCCTTCAAAATGGAGAAATCGATTTACTGCCGCAGGGTTGCGGGGGTCAATGTTGATTGGCGCATCACCGACACCCTTATCAGCTGGATCAAGAATCTCAGGGAGAGGTGTGTGTGTATGTGTGTGTGTGTCTGTCTCATCATGCACACAACAGTCTTCTTTTTTTTTTCCCTTAAAAGTGTGTTTGTAGCAAGCAGGGGAAGCCCATGTGGGCTGAGTAAGAGGATGCTCATGGTCACGCTTCTGAGTCATTTACTGGAGAAGCACTTGAGTAATGGCGACAGACTGGTGAGAAGTCAATGAGGAAAAGTCTTGTGTAGTCTTTGGTCACTTGATTCAATTTTCATTGGAGACATTTCGGATCAATTGATGCTTCCAACTTTTTTTTTTTTTTCGAATCAGTTTGGGGAATGACCTTTGGTTGCACAACGCAAGGTTCGTCATCCATCCCGATTGGGTGAGTTAAGTGCGTCAGCTTTTGACCTTTGGGACTAGTCCAGATATTGTGCAGCTAGCTTTCTTACAGAACTTTTCCATCCCGCGATCGGGCCAAGGGACTGGGCCGGTCCGCAAATAGGCCAAAAAATGTGCATATAATAAAAAGGGGATAACCTTCAATTTGTGTTTTGCACAAAAAAAAAAAGGTTGCCCCACCCCAACACCTCAAAACAAAACAAACTGCCGCTACTTCCTCTCAGTTTAAGAATTTCACCTTAAAGCGAGCTTCTCTTCAATGTATTCAGACGCCGTCTCACGGAGCGTCTTTCCAATGAAGCACCTCAGACTTGTGATCAACGCTATTGATTGTTTGTGTGCCTGGCGTCAACGTGTCCATACGCTCTACCGTGTGTAAGGCCACACTCGAACACCCCCGCAGTCGCCATTATGCGCAAGTCCAAACCGAATCGATCAAAAAGGGACTGACGACAAGCATTTTCCAGCCTTCGGGACTTTGTGCGGCGCTGTTTAATTCAGAAATCAAATTTAAAAACGCGTTTGACTCCATATCGGAACACTGATTTTCAACCCTGGTTGCAAACACACACACACACACACACACACACACACACACACACACTTTGGTAGCACGTCCCTCATCGCAATTCATGAGCGTTGCCTTCTGCTTCATACTTATTTTCCCTCCCCCGTCGTATGAATGTAATCGGGCCCTTTGCAGCGGTTGGGGGTCAGAAGCTTTAATTGCATCTTTGGCGTCATTCTATCCCTTGCGCTATGTCAAATATGCTCAATGATGAAATGACTTTCTCACTCCATCAGTCAAATTTAGACACACGTCTATAAATTACGAATAAGCACAACATTGAAGAGCATGAACAAATCGTAGACATTAGCTGAGTCCGGAGAACAAAAGTAGCTTATTAAAATGACTAAAGTGATGTACATTGACGGCGTTTTATGCACATTTGAAACCAAGTCACACCTACGAGGAGGAGCAGCACAATGGCCGTCAAATTGAAGCAAAAAGGGTTTCTTTTTTTAAGGTTTGCGTTTTGATAACCTGAGTTTCTGGTAATCAGTCTGGGGTGGTGGATGTTTTTTTAAAGTGTGTGTTATGGGGTGAGGGGGGTGAACTGCAGGTGTAAAAAAATATTGCAGCCTTGTCACATTGAACCCTGTGAAAATGGTGCAAAGAGAGAGAGAGAGAGAGCGAGACAAAGAAGGAGCTCGAGAGTTGGAAGCAAACAGTGGCAACATGAGTGACTTTATTAGTCTTTGTCTGCAGGAGGTCGCAAAGCAACGCTGAGCCGCGGCTCTTCCCGGCCGCCACCGACAACGGCGTACAGTACGATCACGCCGTATGTCGCACCTTCTCTGTTGCGCCGCAGCCGATAAGGCGCCCGGCCAGCTTCTCAAAGTGGGAGTGTGCGCGGTGGGTATCACCTCCGCCTGCCATGTGGTTATTTTATGAAGGTTATTTATACTATCTGGCGCAAGTGCCGCCAACACTGTTTTGACACATTTATGTCGGGCAGAAAGAATGAGGCTCTTCCACGCTGTCCCCTTTCATCATTCTCCGACGCTAATTTGCATTGAGCTGCATTTGAACGCCGCCCCCGGGCCGTTTGCGCGGCGCTTAAGCGCCGGGAAATGGACTCGGATTGTTTGCATCAAAGACGAATCCTCGGGTCTCCCTTCTGGTCGAGCGGAAGAATGGGCGAGGAGCTCGCAGCCTTCGCTTTGCATTGACGGCACTGGCAGAGACAGTCACATTCTTAGTTATCGCTGTTGGTGGGGGCGGGGGGGGGGGCATTCACATGCATTAACCGGTGCCTTCCCAGTGTGCTTTGCGTCCGTAAACGCCACACGCGGTGAGCGGCTTCGAGCTGTGGATCGCAAACCCCAGTCGAATTTACTTTCCAAAGTCGACGTCCAACAGCATTCGATGCATCCGACATGAAATCGAAGAATATCCTAAAACCAAGATCAAAGACAATTTCAAGAAATAAATTGGTTGTCCAAAGTATTTGTGAGTTGGATGTGTGCCTTTTAGGGGCGTGGCTCGGTGGGCGATGTCAGAAGCTGCAGTCGGTCAGTCTGCGTGTGAACGAAAATTGTGGCCTGCGGCAGCTCCTTGTGAGTGTTCGCATCTTGCATTTGTGTTGTAGTTCTTTGCTTCCTGAGCCAATCACGGCAGAATGCAAGACCATTTTTTTTAAAGCCCGTATTTTGATGCACAGCGTATTGTATTTCATTTTCAGGTCTGAATTAATTGGCTTTCTTGGACCACTAAAAATATCTAGCGTGCCAAATGTGTCCCCCGAAACCTCGAGTTTGTCACAGATGCCCTCATGCTACGAGCCGCAACCTCGCCTTCGTCGTCGCCAGGGTCTTTACATCCATCTATATTCTTTGCGTCACGTCTTCCCTCCCCTCCTTTGTGTCTTTCATTTGCTTCTCAAACGCCAATATTTCGAGACGGATGGAAGGGGAGGGGGGCACATACACTCGTAACCATGGCAACTTGTGCGGCTTGTCAGAGTCGCCATTCTCGCTGTTGGTTAGCGCTTGTCTCGTCTCTCCTGCGTCACCCGTCAGGCACCGCTTGCTAATTTGTCTCCATGTCGCTCATTTTGCTAATTGACGCTTCCTAATTGGTTACAAGGAACGAGCCTCCGCCCCTTTCGCTCCCCCCAGCCCGGCGCTCCCCTGCGTGCGGTGTTGGGGTTCAAATCTGTGCATTTCGCTTTTTTTTTCTACCTTTTTGCTGTCCATTCTTTTTGTGCCACGTGGGTGCCCCAAACATCAGCGGGGCTGACTAAGTTGCCTGGAGGGAACCATGTTCCAACAAACGTGCAGAGAATGCACACTTGAAGGGATTATCTTCTTGGCTCATTTTCCATTCCTCGCTTTCTTGTTTCCTGTTTTATGGCTGTTGGGGGGCAGAGGGGGGTTATTTTTTTTGCCTTGTATATCTGTAGGAACTGTTGAGAGAGTGATAGCGCCGTCTGGATGTTGTCCTCCTCGTGCACGCAAGCTTCACAGAAACATGTGCGCATGACATTGGGAGTAAATAAGTCACTGCCCAGGGGAGAACAGGGAGTGTGTGTGTGTGTGTGGGGGGGGGTGTCCAGTATCTGTTTATTGTCTGCTTCAGAGTTACTTTAGTTGTGTGTTTAATGTTACAAGTACAGATCAATTTATTACCACCCGCAGCTGCATGAGAAGCCGCCTTTGAGACGAGTCCATTACTCGCCAACACGAGTGTGGTTCTCTGGTGAATAAACACTTCCTGGAAAATATGAATAGATTATGAAGCCTGCATATTATTAAAAAAAAAATGAAAGAAAAAGAAATAGCGTAAGGGGTTACCAGGCAACAGCTGTCGTGTTTTAATGTGAGTCTCGTTGTTGCGTGTGCAACGCTTGAACTAAATGCTCATGCTCTCGCTTGCGTATTTATGAGATATGATGTGGACTGTGTACAATGGTGGAGTTTTCCATTAAAAAAAAAACAAAAATTGTTTCTTAATCAGAAAAATAGCACCCTTTCATGTGTAAAAAACATACAGTTATGACAACTAAATGCAATGTATATAATTCAATTTTGCCACATTTTTGGACATTGTGCCGCTCCCTCTGGTGGGAGGCGAACGGCGGCTCATCTCCCCCTGACTTCACCCTGACGCAACGTCTGAAAGCCCGCTCGTCCTCGGGCCAACAAGAGGCCGTCGGTGTGCTTCGTGAAACCTCCGTGAGACGCTCTCACTTGTCTGGAGATTGCGACATGAGACACTTGCCACCGAGAGCGCCGGTTTGTCCTCAGCGGTGGGCGTGGCTTTGTCAGTGAGATGAGGATTTGTTTGGTTGTGGTTTAGGGTGAGTGTCTGGCCGTCAGTTGTGGCTTACAGCAGTTCCTCGCAAGTGCTCGCATTTTAGATCCGACGATTTGTCCCGCTCGACAAAAGGCACTGCGGTGCTGTTATCTGCTTGTATTGTCACTGAGAAATGTTTCAAGGTGACTGTTGAATTGTGATTTATTTATTTTTTTCCCTCCAGCTGGATCCAGACAACACCGGTTTCATCGCAGTGGAGAACTTCACCAGCCTGGTGGAGCACCATGAGCTGCAGCTGGACCCGTCCAAACTGGACATGCTGTTAGCGCTGGTCCAGAGCAATGAGGACGGACAAGTTTGTTACCAGGAGCTCATCGAGCTGGTGAGTCGACATGTTTTTGGATTTTCATTGATTTGATTTATTTTTTGGGAGGGCTCTGTGTTGCTGTTGTATGATTAGGCTTATGCCCTTGGTCACGGAATGATTCCAATTTTAAAGTCGAGTTCACAAAATAACATGCGCCGTGTAGACTTTTAGCATTGAGCAATTTTTTTTTTTGTTGCAGAATAACATTTTGTGTGAAGGCGTACCTTATTTAGCGCAGATTGAAATGCCGCGGCGACTCTGGTGTGACATTGCAGACGACGTGCGAGGTCACAGTCGCGTGACATTTTCGAGCAGGTAATCAGCAAGCAAGCAACGGCGTCCGTCTCTGCGGCCTTCTGCCCGTCGTCCGTCCTTCCTTCCCGTATTCGTGCCTCGTTCCTCTTCTCTGCCCCCATCAGTCACTTTGCCGACACTTTTACAAGCACCACTCCCTAATTTGTGACAAATAACGCTCTTTTATTCGAGCCGCCGTCTTTGCTGATGGCTCGTTGAGGCGAGAGCGTTGCGCATCGCTGAAAGTCACGTGCTCGCGTCCGGGTGATGTGTCTGGTTCATTTTTCAACAATGCTCAGTGGCGGTCGCAATCGAAATCGCTTGTGGATGAATAGCAGAGCGCACACAAACCTTTGGAAAGCATTTTTGTATTTCTGATGAAAAATGAAAACAAAGGACCTCATGGTGTCCATGCGCCGCCACACTCATTCACAGGCAGGATTTCCGATGGGCTTATGTAACGGCGGTTTCTAAATGTTGCACTTAGTTTCTCCCTTCAGGAGGTCCAATCAGAGGAGCACTTGAGTCATTAGCGCTCACATGTTCTGCTTTCAACCGAGCGAGCCTTTTGTCGCGTTCCCAGAAGCGTTCAAACAGATTGAAGCGCTCAAAACAAGCGGCAGTTCATCCTCTGATACGTTTTGGGTCTATTTTGTGCACTGGCAAATTTTTGTAGAGCGCCTCTCACGCCATCGTCAACACTTTTTGATCGCAATCCGCACTTGGCGACAGGCTGCACATGATGCACTTTTGTGCTTTGTCATGATTAAAGCACGAAAGGCGAATGTGACCACGAGTTGGGGCGGGGGGCTCATTTGGGCACAAAAAAAAGAGCGTGAATATCTGGGTCAGGGTGCAATCAGTGAGCACTTGGCCAGGATGGCTTCAACTCTCCATGGGGCTCCCGAATGACTCGTTGTGGTGCAAAGTAACGACGTATCTTGTTGTGACCTTGGCTATTTCATTTTCTGCTCAGGTGGTTGGGGGCCATTGATTTGAAGCAAACGCATAACTCTGCCCGATGTGGAAGTTTGCCAGCTTAATGCTAGCACGCAACGCCAAACACCACAGACAAGCTCACGAACGCCCTCAGAGTTGCAGCGTTATACTGAGAGATGCGCCAAAAATTTGGGATGAATGAAGCCGAAGCACCCGCCCGTTATTATCCATCTTAAAGGGGCTACCATTTTGCCGGCGACTGAATATGACATCACAGTGCCGAAGGGCTCAGCCCACGAACGTCACGGGACCAAACCCAAAAGACGGACGGGTGAGCCTTGACGGTTGTGGCCTCGTCGCTTTTATTTTCTTGGCCTCCGCGCGGGCAATGGGGAGGCTTCCGTGGCCCTTGAAAATATTTTGGGGTGTGTTATGGTTATTGCTAATTAGGATGGAGCTGGGAGGGATTGACCGTGCACTGTGGCTAATTAATCCATCAAGGACAATCGACTGTATCTGATAGCAGCGTGTGCCATAGACAACATGCGGCTACCGTGAGGGAGGGAGGAAGGCTCCTCGCTGTTTAGCACACACACACACACACACACACACACACACACACATGCTCGCACACCTGCTGGTCGCCATTTAGCCCATTCAGCCGTCCCTGAAGGCTGTTACTATCTTTGTGCTTCCAAAGCCTCAGCTTCCCTTCCAAAGAGACTTTCCAAGATTCCGTCCATTTTCAATGTACATTTATTTTCCCGTTTATTTATCACGGGACCATGCGTAGAAAACATGTCAGTCAAGAGTAACGATTGCTCTGTACTGGCTTAAAGCTTAGTAGCTCATTTCCACTTGCACAAATTTTAGGACTAACTCGCGTCTCGTGCTGCTGGAGGTGGTCCTTGTTCTGTTCATATGCGTTCATTTTGTATATGATCTCGTGTGTGTGTGTGTGTGTGTGTGTGTGTGTGTGTGTGTGTGTGTGTGTGTTTTCTAACAGTTTAATTCAATTCATGGCTGCTCCCATGTTCATTGTAGCATGTAATCGCTTTAAAATCGTGTTAATGCCCACTGCGTCACCATAGTAACACACACACACACACACACACACACACACACACACACACACAAACACACACAAACACACACACATTTTAACTGGCCAAAGCCCTGTGCAAACAGAAAAGTAGCACACTCCAGTAATTGGTTTCAAGGATGTATGTTTCAAGTGAAAAGGCACAGCTGCTTTATTTTTGTGCAGCAATTTGTTGATGATGTCTTCATTGTTCGCTCATTCCTGTGGAAAAAAAAAAATCTTTGTCCTCAGTGAGTTTAGCTCATTAGCATTTATGGATGTTGAGTGTATTGATCCAGAAATTGTGCCTACACACACTCGACGCGCCCGGTAGCAGAAGCACCTGATTAGAGAGGAAGAAAAGTTGGAGCTGTTTTAACTTCCCACCGGCGTCATTCAGCGTGAGGTTGAAAACTCCTTCGCCGCACGGTCAAAAACGACGCGTGAACATCACAGGCCGCTTTCTTGTTCCTCCGCAGTTGCTTTGTGTCAGATCTTATCACGGCACACAAAGTTTGATTTGGAGATAATTGCTTGGTTGGCAGTTTTCCCTCCAGGGAGCACCATTGTTTTAGCGACAATGGCGAGCTCGGCGGGACTTTCGGCTGAATCTTACCTCTGCTGCGTAAAAGTGGAAATCAGCTTGAAAGAAGACAAAATATTGGACAAAGGGTTTGCTTTTTTGGTACAATTCCAGATGAGCAGCAAGCGCTCCAGCAGTTTCCGACGGGCCATCGCCAACGGCCGCCGCACTCTGCAGAGAGAGATCTTGCTGGACGAGACGGGCCTGGGTCTGTACAAGCGCTTTGTCCGCTACGTGGCCTACGAGATCCTGCCCTGCGAGACGGACCGGCGCTGGTACTTCCACCAAAACCGCCTGTGCCCACCGCCGGTCTTTATCGCCGTCATCACCATCGTCCAGGTGACGAGAAAGACAGCTTGCATTCTTGGAAATGGCCATCGGTGGCAAAAGTGCGTGTGATATGTTGCGCGCCATGTCGCGCTACATTCTCTTTTCAAATGAAGCGAGTAAAAGGTTGAATAAGTACTCGAGTAAAGTACAAATACCCGAAAACCCATTCAAGTATCCTTCCCACCGCTGGAAATGGCGAGTGTTCGGGTCACTCAGTGAAACTCTTCAGACCCATTGAAGAGATTTTCTGGCTTTGACTGTGTGCTTTTTTTTTTTCCCACTGAGCTGCATATGCGCTGCTTTGAACTCATTTCAGAGTCAGGAGCTGAAAGCCTCACTCGTAAGTTTTTTTTTTTCTCCTCCCCCAGTCTGATTTAAAGCAGGTCATCAAGCACCGGGGCCACTACAACAGCCTTGAAATGACCTGTTATGCTCATGCGGAAGCCACTTCTAGCAAACACTGCAAAAATCCGACTTTTGACTCTCGTAATCATCGGCATTTATGAGCAACGAAAGCCCCAGTGCTGTAATAAGAGCGCCAAACGATGCTGAATGGTTCTGTGATGACAACGCAATAACAGTTCACACAGACAATGAGTCATTTTTCTATTTTCTAAGAGTGGGAATTGGTAGAACGAAATGAGGCACACTTTTGTGTGAGCAGTGCCCCCCCCACCCTGTATTTCGTAGACATCTGCATAGAGACAAAACCAACAAGCTAGGTCATGTGACTTTACAATTTTTTTTTTTTTTTTTTTTTTAAGCCAGGCAAGAAATCTGTTATGCCCTCAATTGGGAGGAAAGGAGAGCCACAGTTGCCGATGCACTTTTCAGCCATTATGAATGCTGGAAGAACAGCCAAACACGGCTGCTGCTGTCGACCGCAGCTCGCGCCCAGACACTCGCACCCAGGCTGTGTTTCAAATCGCTGCTTATCCACTGCCAAATGATTCTCAATGTACAGTGGTCGGCAGGCTCCCTCTCGTGGCACGCGAAACAATCCCTGCGTGCCGAGTACAGTGCCTTGTGGCACCACTACTGTATATGGTTATTGCCATTTGCGCGTCTCTGATGGCAGATCATCGTGTTCATGTGCTACGGCGTCATGCTCAACAAGTGGGTGCTGCAGACCTACCAGCCCGACTTCATGAAGAGCCCCTTGGTGTACCACCCGGGCCACCGCGCTCAAGTGTGGCGCTTCTTCAGCTACATGTTCATGCACGTCGGGTACGTAAGCGCGAGCTCCTCGTTGACACTTGAAACTTGTTTTGGCCTCACGCTGTCAACTGTGTGCGCCCCCCCTCAGCTTGGAGCAGCTGGGCTTCAACGCTTTACTGCAGCTGATGATCGGAGTCCCTTTGGAGATGGTCCACGGCGTCTTACGAATAAGTCTGCTTTATATGGCGGGAGTGCTGGCGGGTGAGTGATTCTTTTGAAGCGTGTGTGTTTTTATTGCGCAAAACACTCAGCCCCGACGGGACTTCCATTTCGAGTGTCGCATCTGCTTTGGGCTGCCTGGTACGGCCTTAAAAAAAACCAAAAAAACCCTCATACATATTTGAAGATGAATTCTAAAAACTGTCCAAGACTGAGAACTATGTTGTACTCAAATGTGGCGATTCCTTCTGGTAGTCAGCTGGTGGGGCCGCCTTCGAGCACCTCGTTGTTGGCCACGAGTGTGCGCATGTCACGCGGAGAAAGACAAAAGACTGAGTCGTCCAATTTGACAGTTAGCATGTGGATCGGGGCTTTGGGCTGGTGTGGCCATATCAGAGCGCCTCGTTGTTGGCTGTGAGTTTGCGCACGTCACCGAGGGGGGGGTGTTATTTGACTGACATTTGACAGCCGAGCGAGGCGTCGTTTCAGCGCATTTAGTGGGCATGTCCGCAGCGTTTGAGAGTGAAGAGAAGAGCTCCATTTTTCACTGACGTCAATAAGTCTGTTTCAGGCAAACTGTGGTCCAACATCGAGTCTTGGAATGTTGACATAGTTTCTCGTTTGGTCCCTTTTTTTTTTTTTTTTTTTGCCAGTCAGCAGTAGATCCGCGCTGACCTAGTTTGCTTTTGTGCTTTTGTTTGGAGTGTTTTATTCGCCCCCCAAAAAATGCTTAGAATTTATTTTGGACTGCCTCATTTGTCAAATTCGACGTCTGCAATTGCAATGAAAAGCACCGGCTAATTTTTACATCAACTTGTGGTCCCAAGTCCAGATTGGACCGCATTCTCTCACAGAGGTCACAGCTCCGCACTGAGGGGAACCTCATTAACGTTCATCCTCCGGCGCGCCACTTTGGAGATTTGTGCACTTTTTTCTGTGGCCGCTGATCACCCGATGGCGTTTCTCAACGCGCATCTCTCGCTAATGCGCATTTGCGCAAGTCATCAAGCCCGCTGCGCAAATCTCTCGCCCTACTCCTTTCCGGCAGGAACAATTTGCGCCGTTGAAAATCTCGTGCTTGTCATCATTTGATTACCGTTGCAAAGCAGAAGTCTTAATTCGTGTTGAGTAATACTTAAATGTGATTTTTTTTTTTTCGCCTCTTCTGTCGACGTGACTAAACGTCCATATTTTTTATTTCTCCTTTCCCTCATCTTGTCTCTGCTCCGTGTTAAATTGAGTTAGCACCACTCAGCTCGGTGAAAAAACAACACACGCACACACACACACACACACACGCACATACGCGCTCTCTTAAGACTCATGAATTATTGTAGCTTTGATTTATTTCTGCGGTGAGGGCAGAGCGAGCGCCCGACCCCGATGAGCAACGGTGAAGAGTAATGCAGGCTTCCTCTCCGCGGAATTAGCCGGCGTGCACTTTGAGGTGGCGTTCGTAAGCCGCCGCTCCCCGTCGACAATCGGCAGCGAGACCACTTGTAGCAGCCACGTGCCGGAGTCAAACCGCTTTCATCCCAACAACTTGAGAAGAACAGGCCAAAGTTTTGCCAAAGAAAAGCCGACATCATCTTACTTGCTCCTGAAACAATAAATGCCGTTCGGCAGGTGTGGGCAGGAAGTCAAGGATGCGCATAGCCAACAGATCTTCGCCAACCTCCCGTATGGCAACTTTTCACACCTCGATTCAAATGTCATGGGGAGGAAAAAAATCAGACCAAGAGAAATCATTTTTCCCCTCCTTGAATGTGACCTGTAACGCGTACAACTCACTCATCTTTTTTTTTTTTTCAAGAGGGCTGGTAAAACTAAAATATGCCGAACTTGTTTGTTTGGGGTTTTTTTTTGTCCCTGTGTACAAAAAAAGCAACATGCTGCAAGTTGAGCGCAACTAAATGTGTGCCTGAACACGCCGCAAGAACCTCCTCCGCACCACGGGCCTCCTTTCAAAGTCGGCCTCACGCAAACCCCAAATTACGTCCTCCCAAAAATAAAATCTGGCACCGAGATGGGCCGACTTGTATCGCCTTCCTGCGCTGTGCGACTTTGTCACAAGTTTACATTTGGGAGCCAATTGCAGCCGTGTTGTTTAATCTGGCCGCGGCCGATGGAGGTTGTCACTTCTTTAATGTCGTCGTTCCTGCTTCACTCAACGACTGCGGCTCCCTCCGGCGCCTTTGCGTCATATTCGTACGGCGGCTGGATGAATGGAACTTTTTTATTTTTCCCTCTTCTACAGTGCAATGATGCCATCTTTAACCTGGCCCAAATGTGTATTTTAAAAAAATCAAATGTGGCCCCGGAGCAACAAAAGTTGCTAAAAAACAAACCAAAAAAACAACATTCCACGGTCCTTTTTGTTTTCTTTGTCCTTCCAGATCGTACGGCCACTTGCTCTGTGCGCATTATCGACAAAGCGCAAAATTGTCAAGGTCACTCTGCCTGGTACCGAAGTGCCCTCCCGCCAAGTGCGAAGAAAGCCGGCTGACCTTGGCGCAATAATTACGATCATTGCTAACGACTCCCGCCCCCGCTCTGCATTATTGCGGCCAGTGAGCGTCCACAGAGAGTGGACGGAAAACTTTCCCCGATGATTTGTTTCCGAGTTATCGAGCAAAGCGCTGCGTCCACGTTTCGGGAAGACCTTGAGGAGCGCTTTTCAGCATGGGCTCTGTTGACCATCCGAGGTCACAAATGCAGCCGTGACGTGCATCGTCAATGTTGAATGCTGCTCCTCTTGCACGCCAGGCGCACGCCAGACTCACTGTCCTATTTTGACTTCTGTCGAGAGAGAGAGAAACCGAAATAAGAGCAGAGACATGCTGTGGTTACAGTAGCATGTGATGTGAGTGAAACGGGATTGGTCTCCTCTGCCTCAGGCCTCCTGTTGGCACCGTTCTGTTTACAGAGGAGCAGCGGAGAGGTCGCGCTTCACTTGCCCCCCCACAATGATCCGATAATTTCTTTTGATTTGATTTGACAGCACCGTTGTGCTGTTTTGTTTGTTGTTGAGGAGCGGCGTCAGAAATTGTACAACTGCACGATATCCCGCTGTGAGCCGTTTGGAATTGTATGCTCTTCCATTCATTTTGGTTCAAGCGCCAATAATTGGTTCTTGGAATTTTGTCCTGCCTAATATTTAAAAAAAACAAAAAAGTGATCCATTTCTATAGCACGCAAAGCCTCCAGTAAACCTCGCAGGCTGAAAAATGTCTTTCATCGAGCTGACAGCAGCAGCGTCGTCGCAATGAGACGTCCAAATGGATGGCGCCATATTTCATGTCATTGCAAACGCGGCGTTTCAATGCGGCGCAAATGGGACAAAAAGCGGCATGTGACAAATGAGTCGCGCTGACTTGACGTGTTTTTCAAACTCAGAGAATGGCACGCTCCGGAAATAAAGCGTGTCACATGTCAGCAAAAGACTCCAGTCTAATTGACCTTCACATTCAAAAAAAAAAAATTGAATAATACTTACTTTAACATCCTATGTACAGGTAAACAATAAGCGAGATAAAAACACTCACGCAGAAGCTGCTGTGGACCACAGCTCATGCCCAGACACTCACAAGCGAGCAGTTGACGCTTGCAAAATTTGGGCTGTTCAAAAAACAGAAAAGAAAAACCGACTACAGAGGCTTCAGGATTGGTTTTTTTTTTTTCTCCCCATTGCAGTCTGGCTGCGCTGCAGTTTGCACAAGAGTGACGGCGACCGAGAGGCAACGCCTCGGGCTCTGTCAGAGTCTGGCCTCAGATCACTTTAGCGCCTCGTGTCGGCGCTTCATCTCGGAGAAAGCTCGACGTACAAACTTGAGGAGGCAGCCATAGGGCTGCGGAGAAGTCAGCGTTTGGTCTTGTCGTCGAGTTTGACAGACTGGCTCGGCTCTTGAGGATTAGACCGAGATACCGGTCGTGTCGTTGACCCCTGCCCCGCACCGACTGACGTCTTTTACCGTCATCAAATGGACGTCCACCGCCAATGTGGCGGCACTAAATAATCCGTGCACGAGATGCGGCGCGTCAGCTCCGCCTTGGAATTAATCGCACACCTCGCGGCTTCGCTCCCGCAGGAGTGTGAGGCGCCTAAATCTTAAATCCTCGCTAAGCGGGAGAAGCCACATGACGGGTCTGCTTAATATTCCCGACATAATATTTGCAAGTTCCCACCAAGGGAGAGCAAGTTTTTTTTTTTCTTTGAAATATCTCTTCCCTGGAATTGTATTTCTTTATTTTCAACGGTCTCTTCATTTCGCAACACTTTTATCGGCCGCACTGCAATTTCAGCCTCTGTGCTTTGCGATGTCAAACTAATCTTCCCGAGGCCTTAAGACTCCCTCTTGCTGGAAGACTTCACTTCTGAGCATCCTCACAGGCGCAGTTTGCTGGCCCTCGATGAGGTCAGCATTGTTCCGTCCTCCGATTGGTTGATCAGAGTGAACATTGTGACGGCCAACTTTGACTCGTTTGACAGTCAACTCTAACCGGGAGTGGTCAACGGTGAATCCCGATCATTTAATGGAGCAAATGTGAGAATTGAAACCTCAGCACTCGCGCGTGCGTCGTGGTGGCGCGCGCCGCTGCGAAATTGCCATTTTGTCCCACCGAGCAGCCCAAATGGGCCGTCTCCTCCGCCGCGTCGAATCGGCCTTCATCCGCGCCCATAAATCTTGACAAAAGCAGCACCCACAGGTGCAGCGGCGAGGAGAGACGAATGACTCTGCGGCGCCGCTCCGATTGCCATCCGTCTTTGCGGCATCCGCACGCCTCGGGCCCGCAAAGTCTTCTTTTGAGACGCTGTTTACTCTTTTGTGCCCACACGCCGAAATTGCGCGCCTTACAGATTTGACATCTCGGCCTCCGAGCGTAATGAAAAAGAGGCTTGTTTTGTTTTATCAGCCCTCTTTTGCGCTTCCCTTATCAGCTCATTTGCATGATTAACAGTTGGCTGACGCCGGCATCTTGACACCGTTATTTCCTCCGCTCGGAATTCCGACCGACTCTGGGATGGCACTTTTTTTTACTTGCTGACTGCAGCAGCAGATGCTCCGTTTTTAAGCTCCATTTGAAAGGTTTGCATTGCAATCGTGTCACCCTCTTGTTTTTTTTTTTGCTTTGGCTCGCAAGCCAAAATTTTTCTTCCCCCCCAAAAAAAAAACACAAGAGGCTTCAAGCTTTTTATTGACCATTTGAAGCCGAATGTCAAACTAGACATGACGCAAAGAGAATTCCACGTTGCGTATTTCAAACACCCACATACAGTAAGCCCCTTCAAGTCAACTCGCTTCACGCAAAAACAAAATAGGAAACGCCATAAACAGGCTAACTAAAAGCAGTGTCTTCAGTATTTCAGCCACAGATATTTGAACACGAACCGTGGAGCAACACAGGTAGACTGATAAGATGACAATTTGTGCAAATTGTGAAATCTGATTAGATTAAAAATAAATCACTAATCCCGTTGGCAATATACTTGAATTGAAATGTGCCAGCGCTACAATTCTGACACTAGAATTCAGGTTGTGAAATTGGCCGCGACCACCCACCGGTGATTTTTGCCCTATTTTGCGAAAGGCCCAAAGGAAGGTGACCGGTGTGAGGCTGCATGGTGAGTAATCTGACCCCCTTTTGTTTTCTCCCTCTGCTCTAAAAACAAAAACAAAAAAAAACATTCCCGCTCTGTGAACAGGACCGCCGCTTCTCACGGTGCATCTTTCTGAAAAATCTGCCAATGTCTTTTCATTTGTCATATAAAAGATAAAACCCAAGCCAGTACTTCTCCATTCGTTTTCTTTCTCTAATTGGGTCTAACGTCTCTCCCGTAGGTTCACTGACGGTGTCCATCACCGACATGCGCGCTCCGGTGGTGGGGGGCTCCGGCGGGGTCTACGCTCTCTGCTCGGCACATCTGGCCAACGTTGTCATGGTAACTGCCGTTGTCGTCCTCACCTCCATTGTGGCGCAGGGGGAGTTTCTTTCCTTCTTTCTTTTTTTGTACCATTTCAACGTCGCAAGCTTCCTGTGCGTGCGCGCTGATATCAGAGGCGGGCAAATGGAGGTTTTTCGGCACCGCCGTATTTTGAATGAGGCATCTGTGCTCGGGGGTGGGCAAAGTTTGTACCCGAGGCTCACATTGAATTGTTGAAACAGATCCGGCTCGTTTGTCGACGAGGGTAAACAAAAAAGTGCTGAAGATGTCTGTGCGAAATTGCTTTCGACCAGTGCAGTCAATCAATCATCGCTTGTCATTTTTCTGCGCATTATGGTTGGCCAAACAGCCATCAGCATCCAACTAATAACTCCCATTATCATGTCAGCTTATCCACTCGCGAGCAGGCACTTCCATGAATTATTAAGTTGTGTTTGTTTGGATCCCCTGCAAAGTAAGCAGTCAATTCCCTTGATGGTGGCGACATTTTTGTTTTTTTAGGCCTCTTGTTGTCCCCGTACGGCACGTCATATTTGTGTGTCAAACTTTACCTGTGAAATGCCCCGCTCCCCCCTGCAAAAATGGTGATGAATCACTTCAGCTTCATGCCAGCGGGGATGAGCCTCAAAGTTGCCAGGCTGCGGACAAAGAGCTTATTTGCCAGCTTAAAAAAAAATACAAATAAAAATTGGTTCTCCAAATGCGCCCAACGTGACCAACATTAAAAAAAAAAAAAAAAAAACAGAAGCATAGTAGGCCTATGTGCTCATTGCGCAACAAGTGGCGCGTCGAAATTGTACATTTGATATCATTGTAAGCTGCTGTAACTTTATGAACAATGTGCTCAATCAAATATAGGGCTCGATATTAGTTTTTTTTTCACCGTACCACTGGAGGGAGCCCGCCTACGAGTACCGCACTGCGCTTTGACAATCACTGCGCCAGCGACGTCACAGCCCGATAATCTTTCCTCTCTTTTGTGTTTCAACTTCTCTAATCGTTCGCTGACACTTTGCGAGGGACAAAGTCGCATGTCAGCACGTTTGATGGAGAAGATCTCATTTCCATCTCGAGCCGACCTCCCACCGCGGCGCCCTCCTTCCTTCATGACATGAATCATTTATCCGCTGTAATATTGTGACTTTGAAGGCCTCTTCTCGCGACAAGGCTTTCTCACCGGCTATTTTTATCCGCTGTTTTGAATCTTGCATGCGTGCGCTCGGCGGCGAGGAGCCTGAAAAAGTGGCCCCGGGTCCTTGAGCCGCAATTCCTCCCAGTCGACGCTCTTCGGGGGCCACGCGATCGGCTCCCTGATTCATCCACGAGAGGGAGCCGGAGGGGGTGAAAGCCGATAGTCAACGTGAGGATGGCCTCGTTCTTTTCTCCCAATAGGGTCGTACGTGCCGTTTATTGCCCCCCTCCGTCTGTTTGATTAGTGGCGCTCCAGTTAACAGAAGCGCCCCTGGCTCGGAATGCGGAGAACGGCGGCCAGGTGCACGCGGTCGGGGGGCTGGCTCAGGTCAAAGCGGATCTTCCTTCTCTCCGGGTTTCGACATGTTCCGAAAGAAGCAAACGGGATGTTTTTTAATGCCCAGCCGCTCATCAAGCCGCACGTTGCGCTCCGGCTTTGTTTTTGCAGAACTGGGCCGGGATGAGGTGTCCGTACAAGCTGCTCCGCATGATCCTGGCGCTAGTTTGCAGTAAGTTGCCCGAGACCCCGGCGGCCAATCTGCCGAGCCGCCGCTCGATGGTGACCTCGGGTTCCTCTCCTCCAGTGAGCTCGGAGGTGGGCCGAGCGGTGTGGCTGCGCTTCTCGCCGCCGCTGCCCTCGTCCGGGCCGCAGCCCAGCTTCATGGCCCACCTGTCGGGCGCCGTGGTGGGCATCAGCATGGGCCTGCTCATCCTGCGCAGCTACGAGGAGAGCCTGCAGAAGCAGTGCTCCTGGTGGGTCATCGTCTTCTCCTTCATCACCTTCCTGCTCTTCGCCATCTTTTGGAACATCTTCGCCTACGAGCTGCTGGGCGTACAGATCCCGCCCGCCCCCTGATGAAGGCCCCCGCCGCCCGCGTCTTGACTTCCAAACAGGTTTTTCTTTCAAATCATCCCTTTTCCGCCCCAGCTGACCTGTGAATCGTTTGCGATTCGTACGGACACGCTGCAAAATGAAGAAGTACGTCTCTTTCATTCAAGAGGGGGTACTGTAGCGGCAGAACCGGTTCCTGGCGTCCGTTTCCAGGAGCTTGTTGTCTTTTTTGGAACTCGCCACGAGCGGCCGGGGTGATTCGTTTCGTGCCTCTGGTGAAACAAGCCAGGAGGGATGCCGCAAAAAGAAAAAACGAAAAATCCTTCCCCGTGCCGAACCATTCAAACATTCGTTTTATTCATTCACTTGTACGATCAAGATGGCCGTTACTTCACTCGGCGAGCGTCTCAGCGTCACTTTGTACCGACACTGTGGATTGAGAACAATCTCTTTGGCAAATTGTATATTCGGTATGGAGAGCTGATTGGGCATTGAATCCACCGTGGGCGATGACGCCAGTGAAGAAACAATGTCATTCATATTCTGCAATGTCGTGCGTTGAAGGTACACGCAAACACTGGGGTGGGCCTCTCTCAAGTCGATACCTCAGCCTCTTCTTCTTCTTACAGCCTGTATACTTTTCAAAAGGAATGTAACAATAGAGCGGGGGGGGGGGCACGAAATTATTACAGTTTGGATTTGTTTTTTTTCCCCCCCCCCCATTTGATCGTGGATGTGTGTATTGTAACCAAGAGTCTATTTACGCATTTCAAAGGGTGCCAAAAGCAGGCTATGATTGTTGTCCCTCACTTGACTTGATCCAAACTTTTAGTGCTTTATAAAACAAGCCATAGAAAGAACTCGCCTGAGATGGTTTCAAAGAGAGGACCAAAAAAAAAAACAAAACAAGAAAAGCCGCAGATGGGGACAGTCGAGAGCGCGAGCAGAAACGAGCTTCGCACATCACCTCATGTCACCAAAATGTATGCGGACACGGGACATGGCTACTTATGCCCACTTCAACCTCTTAAAATATCAGAACGATCGTCGCACTATTTTGGATTCTATGCACGTTAAGCCTCCGCAGTGAGCGCCAACGGAGAGGAAGGCGTTGAACGTCCATAAAATCCAAACTATTGCGCCCATTGCTCTCCTTGAGGTGGTCGAAGTCAACACAGGTCGACGTGGCCACGTAGATTTTGGCGATGATTCATTTTGACATCAAATGACTTCCGCAGAGACGAAAACACTTCACGTAGGTTGAAGTGGGCAGGAGTTGAGACGTGCGCACACATTTTCATGTCCATTTCTCAAGTCTCGATAGTAAGTACCTACGGAGTTGGAAAAGACTTCACTTCCATGAAATCCAAAATATTGTCGCGATGGTTCTGATCACAGTTTACTGACATTCAGCCACATTACATTTTTTTTTCCTTACATGACACGTTCGAGACTGTCCCCGCAAACGGGTCGCCTCGACAGTGTGTAAAAGTCATTTCCGGCATTGTGAATATTCTAAGTCAAAGAAGACAAAACTGTGCAAGTTTACGCCTGTGAAAGTTTCTCATGTAGCTGACTTTTATTTCTTGGGGTTTCCGCCGCTTGTACAAGTTGTTTATAGTTGACGGATTGTTTTGCGGATGCGCGCAAAACAGTCGCGTTCGTGTGCGCCGGCAAATGAACCGATGATATGGATTTCTGTCGCGCGACTCGAGCCGAGGATTGCATTGACCCCCGTCGGCGCTCCGATTTTCACTCATCCGATCGATAATTCATTTGAACATCACTCGGCTGAACATTTTACGCTTTTGCCGATAGGTTCATAAATTCGATTCCTCCGCAGTTCCTCCCGGATGACACCGTCAGGCGCAAGTCGGCCCGACGATTTGGGAAAATGAGAAGGAAAAAAAAAATCGGCCGTTACGCCGGAGTCATGGAGAAGTGATGGAAGCCCCTTGTGGTCACTATGAAATGTTATTTCTGGCCATGGCGAGGATGTTGTTTTAAAAAAAAAAAAAAAGGGCTAGTGTTCCTTTTATTTTTCCCAGCAGTGTATCTTAATCGCCAAGCGCGAGGAACCTTGCTTTCCCGCATTCAAGGCCGCGTGATTTTTCAGCCTCTCAAAGTCACGTGACAGGAGGATGATGCCTGGCTGCGAATTTTCTTCCGCAACACTTGAATTTTGACGATAATGACGGGGAGGGTTTGGCATTGAGCGACGGGAGACGAGCGATCCACGAGTTCTGCTCACCGAGCTCATGTTTTTGCTCGTCCGGGTCAGCATGACGACACCGAAACCGAAACGTCGTCGTTGACGCTTTCGTTCTGCTCCATTCGTTGAGGCCGACGTGTCGAAAAATGCGACATAGAGCATTTCATGGTCGTGCACGCATGTCACAAAAAGAGCGAGATGAAAAAAATGACATGTAAAAAAAGTCAAGATGTGACTGTTAACGAGCGTGAAGTGGGGATGAGCAGTCAGGTGGTAGATTTAGAGCGCCTCGTTGTTGTGGTATTGAAAAGCCCCGCAACCCAGAGATTGTTTTGTCACCCAAAAGTAACCCGGAGAGCCAAATATTGGAGGTTTGTGTGGCAAATGAGTGCTTTGCGCCCCAAATTACATCTTGTTCTTTTGTCTGTTTTTGTTTGTAAGTTGGCCAATCCTGAGCGCCGCGTAAGCCACTCAGGTAGCCGTGCGCATCCAACAGCTGCCTCCTGCGTCCATAAAACGGTGCCAAACTGACAAGGTTCAATCTCGCCAACAAGCAGACACGAGGTTGCGCAAACACAGCGTTTACAACTAAAACAAGGAGGGCGAGATTAAAAAAAAAAAGGATATTTTTCTCTTAAGTCACGTGGAAGAATGCCTAAATTTACATGTGGGAAATTTGTATCAAAGTCCTCATGATTTATTTCATTATCTATTCTATGTACTTTTTAAATGTTCTAAAACGGAACCATTTTATATTGTATATATCTGAATATATTTTGTTTTATTTTGTACTGGTCATTGTATTTTGCTTTCATTCGGAAACAATATAAATAAAGAACAATACTGTGACGACATTGAAGATCTTTTTGTCCATCATTGTTCTATTTCAAGGGGGGAAAGAAAAAAAAACCAAAAAAAAAGAATGACGACAATTCTCCACAAAAGCCTTTATTATTACTCAAGTACAAAAAATGTTCAGTGATTTCTTTCATCTTGTTTTAAGTTTCTTAGTTGCTCTGTGATCAGAATCCACGCTTTCTTCCGCCACACTGCCGCCCTTCACGTCGAGATCCTGAAGAAGTGGGAGCCGCTGTTGTTTAGCGACCGTGAGTGCCCATAAACAGCGCTCCAGCCTTTGGGGTGTCCAATCGGGCTGGGGGTCCGCTGAAGAAAAAAGGAGCCGCAAACAAGGTCAGACAAAAAAGAATGTACGTGAAAAAAGCAAAGGGAGAGTGGATGTAAAAATGTCAACGCATCATTCTTCGAATGAAAGGTTAAAAAAAGGGGGAGAGGGAATTATGAACAGTTCGAAAGAGCACAAACCCTTCTAGCTCCTGCTCAAAAGCAAATGTCAGGAAAAGCCTACTAGAACACATGCTGAAATGGATTTGGGGTTAATCAGAGACTTTTTATGAGTCAAATGGTGAACCTTTGTTCAGTCTGTGGGTCACGTCCACCATCTTGTCCAGGTAGAGCGTGTAGTGTTTGGCTGTATACTGGATGGGTTTGAGCCCTGGCACGCTCTCCAAGGCTTCGTCCGACATGAACGCCACCTGATCGGGAGCCCCCGCAGCCAACACGGCTACAAAAACAAAAACAAACAAAAAAGGACATCGAACTCGTGGTCTTGAGGTGAAAAAAAAAAGTTGGTCAAAGCCTGTTCAAATTTAGCGAAGCTTTGATTTGTTGGTGACGGGTACGATGCGGCGTTGCAGACCTGACGCAGTGGCCGGGCCGATTCCTTTGAGCGAGCTGAGCTCCGCGATGGCCGCCGCCACGTCGGGCAGGAGGCTGAAGGCCTTTCGGGAACATTTGTCCACTGCATCCTCACTGTTGGAAGACACCAGCTGCTGCAGACGGGGCCTGAACTTCCCCCTCTGCCGAAAAGGAGGCGGCTGAAGCACTGTGTGCGTATATATTCTCTTGCAGGCGTGTGTGTGTGTTTAGCAATTTACAGTGAGCTTCCACTCCATCAGCTTGACCACCTCTGCCAGTGTGACATGTTTCTCGGATCGACTTGAGATGACGGCGGGCAGCTCCTCTTGGTACCTGAGTGCACAAACCCTCGCATCGGTTACACACACACAGACACACACACATATAGTAGAAGTGTTCACTTCTTACCACTTGTCAAGGTGGAGAAGCTTGCCAGGTTTTTTGCTCGTGCTCTTGGCCTCCACCACGTCCCAATATTTACCTTCAACTCTCCTCCACGTGGCCGGATGCTCGCACTCAAAAAGCCCACTCATTGCTGTGGTGTCCGGAAGTAAAATAACAAGGCCAGAGTTTAGACAAATACTGTATTTACTGAACAGGCGAAAAACGGCACAACACTAGTTCGTAAGATTTGTTCTGGTTGCCATTACAGAACTGCTCCTCCTTCCGTCCCCATCTCAACGGCATTTAATGACAACACCGCCACCTAATGTAACAGTCAAGAAACATATGAATGGCTGCACAGCGGCTCGTAACATCGCCTGGTGTCACTACATATCGTCACAGTTGAATGTATTTCTCGAGAGTGGTTTTGCACACGAATATTGGGGAGACATCCCAACAACATTTTATGATGGGACAAAAACAGCAGTCTCGTCCGGACTTACCAGCAGGAGAGTCTTCCCACCGAACACACAAACTTAGTGAAAATATTTGGATAATGTTTCCGCATGACTCGGACCGAACTCTCGCGAGAGTTTCGTTCTGTTATTATTTCCGGCAATGTGTGCAAATGATCGCTGAGCGTGTTTGCTGAGGTTTCAGCATGGTGTTTTTTTTTCTTTTTGTCCCTCGTTCTTTGCTCTCATGCACCTCGGATATTTGAACAATTTTACAGTTGCGTTATTTTTTGCAGTGTTCGTGAGACCGAGTCAGGTCGCATGCGTTTGCTCGGTTTAGCTAGCCAGCATTAGCATTCCATTCCAGTCATCTTTATGGAAATGCAAAGCCTTGAGCTATTTCCAGACACTGGACCTCAACCCCCAAACATGAAGGTAAGTGTGGGTCAGTGCACAAAAAAAAAAAAAAAAAGTGGCCAAAAGCTATTGGGTTATGTTATGCTGAGACAAATGTGCAGCGCGGAAGATTACTAGTAGCAGTAACCATTGGAGACATTTTAACGGAGATACTAATTATAACAATGCACCGAATAGTCCCAAATAAACAACACAGACCATCAGGGGGTTGTCAACCTCTTAAGGTGCAAATGAAATGAAAGCAGCCCAGTGGAAGGCAATCAGCGTATTAATCGTGCTCAACGTTGCCAAGATCGGGTGTCCGTGCATAGGTTGCAAGTTTTTTCCATACGCAACATTGTTTTGCTTTGTGTGTTGTGATAGAGCCTCCAGCAAGTTGCCTCTCATGGGAGAGCATGAAGTGGATTCTGAGCTGCTGCAAAAGTTGAAGGGGTCAGAGGTTCTTCGCCAAGTTGGTATGCGTACCATTATGGACTGTTTCAATAGAGATATTGAGGCACATATTTTTGCACCACTTCATATGGCTGGGTGCTAGGGCTGTAAAAAAAAAAAACAAAAAAAACAATCTTGGATTTCTTTGACGAAAGATTGACTTGTGGTTTGGCTAGGAACATGGAGAAGATGTCCCGGGTCACCACGGCCCTGAGCAGCAGCGCCATCAGCGGTCGAACCATGTTCTGCCACTTGGACGCCCCCGCCAACGCCATCAGCGTGTGCCGCGACGCCACGCAGGTGGTGGTGGCCGGCCGCAACATCTTCAAGATCTACGCGCTGGAGGAGGAGCAGTTTGTGGAGAAGCTGAACCTGCGCGTGGGCCGCAAGCCGTCGCTCAACCTCAGCTGCGCCGACGTCATGTGGCACCAGATGGAGGAGAACCTGCTGGCCACCGCCGCCACCAACGGCGCCGTGGTGACGTGGAACCTGGGCAAGCCGTCTCGCAACAAGCAGGACCAGCTGTTTACCGAGCACAAGCGGACGGTCAACAAGGTGTGCTTCCACCCCACCGAGGTCTACATGCTGCTGAGCGGCTCCCAGGACGGCTTCATGAAGTGCTTCGACCTGCGCAAGAAGGAGTCGGTTAGTACGTTCTCAGGTAAGTAGCGATCAAGCTAACGTGGACCCCGGTCACTGCCGGGTTAGACAAAAGGCAAGGTAACTTTTTGTCTTGAAGGTCAGTCGGAGAGTGTGCGGGACGTCCAGTTCAGCATGAAGGATTATTTCACCTTCGCCGCTTCTTTTGAGAACGGCAACGTGCAGCTGTGGGACATCCGACGGCCCGACCGCTACGAGCGAATGTTCACCGCCCACACGGGCCCCGTCTTCTGCTGCGACTGGCATCCCGACGACAGGTGCTTCCGTTTGTTTTTTTTTCAACGCACGGCAAGAAAAATGTAAAGGGGAAAAAAAAGTCACCATTGGAAATACCAGCGCGATGTCAGTTTTGATGGGCTTCCCTTTCAGGGGCTGGTTGGCCACGGGGGGCAGGGACAAAATGGTGAAGGTGTGGGACATGACCACAAACCGGGCCAAAGAGATCTACTGCGTGCAAACCATCGCCTCGGTGGCGCGAGTCAAGTGGCGTCCGGAGCGCAAGTTCCACCTGGCCACCTGCTCCATGATGGTGGATCACAACATTTACGTGTGGGACGTGCGTCGGCCGTTCATCCCCTTCGCCACCTTCGAGGAGCACAAGGACGTGACCACGGGCATCGTGTGGCGCCACCAGCACGAGCCTCACTTCCTGCTCTCGGGCTCCAAGGACAGCACGCTTTACCAGCACATGTTCAAGGACGCCACGCGGCCCGTGGACAAGGCCAACCCCGAGGGCCTTTGCTTCGGCCTGTTCGGCGACCTGGCCTTCGCCGCCAAGGAGAGTCTGATCAGCGGCGACGCTAACAGGAAGCCTTACCCCGGCGGCGACCGCCGCTACCCCATCTTCTTCTTCAAGAAGCCCGACCCCACCGAACAGTTTGCGCACGTGTCCAGCGCCCTCAGCGTCTTTGAGACCGACTTGGACAGCAATCGCATGGACTGGTTCGTTCGGACGGCGCAACTCTACCTCCTCGGCGGCAAGCCGTTCGCCGAGCTGTGCGATCACAACGCCGAGGTGGCCCGCGAGCTCAAAAGGCCTCAGGTGCGGCGACGCCGTCCGCGTTCCCGACGGAGGGCTGAAAGATATTCCGATCGTCGGAGCTGATTTTTTTACACACGTTCGCAGGTATCCACAACCTGGACCATGCTGAGAATCATGTTCTCCGACCCGGCAAACATCGCCACGTCCGGTCCCAACCACCTCAGTAAACTCGGCACCTTACCGCTCATGAACAGGTACCTCTCCGTTCAAAATAATTCTGCTCATATTAACTCATCGAGGCAACAAACCCCCCACCCCCCCGCTGGTGTGTTCAGCTTCAATCTGAAGGAGATCGGATCCGGCATCGGGAATGAGAGCAGGCTGGAGCGCAACAAAGGCGACATCAGACAGGACAATGTCCACTTGGAACCTGAAAACATCAGCAATAATAATGAAGGTGAGGATATTGACCTGCATTTCAAAATAGCAGATTTTTTATTTTTTTGTTGCAAAAGCCCCATCAATTGTGCGGAATTTGCCTTCAGAAAACGAGGAGACGGAGGGCAGCGAGGGCCAAGCCGAGTACATGTTTGGTGACGCCGAGCTGGATGACGACGATCTTTATTCAATGGAACACGACAATCAAACAGGTCCGTTGAACTTTTCGCCTTCCTCCTCAAGTTGAGAAGCTTGAAAAATGGGGACGCCCGAGCCGAGTCCTTGTACGATCCCCTCAACTCGGTCTGTCCGCAGAGGAGCAGGAGTGCACGCTCCCCCAGGAAGCCTTCCAGCTGCGCCACGACATCCTGGACAACCCGTCGGCCCCCGAGCACCTTCAGCAGGACAAGGCCGACTCGCCGCACGTCAGCGGCAACGAGGCCGAAGTCACGTGCCTGACGCCCATCGAGTCCTTCTCGCTCATCTCCATCTCGCAGCCGCTCTTCACGCCCGACCTGCCCGCCAGCTTCTTCTGCCCCATCGTGCGCGAGATGCTCAGCTACTACGCCGAGAAGGGCGACGTGCAGATGGCCGTGTCCGCGCTCATCGTCTTGGGGGAGCGCATCCGCAAAGAGATCGATGACCTGACGCAGGTACTGGAACGCCTTACGGCGGCAGCAAGATGGCGGGCGAACAGCTTTGAATCCGCTTTGGCGTTTTAGGAGCACTGGTACACGTCCTACATCGACCTGCTGCAGCGCTTCGAGTTGTGGAACGTGTCCAACGAGGTGATCAAGCTGAGCACGTGCGGCGCCATCACCTGCCTGAATCAGACCTCCACCACGCTGCACATCAACTGCAGCAACTGCAAGCGGCCCATGAACAGCAGGGGCTGGATTTGCGACAGGTGTGACCGCCGGGAACACCTGATCATCCGTCGCCGCACGCACACACACGCCGGGTGCCTTTTCTGAAAGGAGCGTGTTGATCTGTGTCGCGTAGGTGCCACCAGTGTGCCAGCGTGTGCGCGGTGTGCCACCACGTGGTCAAGGGTCTCTTCGTGTGGTGTCAGGGCTGCAGTCACGGCGGCCACCTGGAGCACATCATCAACTGGCTCAAGAGCAGCCCGCACTGCCCGGCGGGATGCGGACATTTGTGTGAGTACACCTGAGCTCGCCGCGGACGGGGCCGGCGAACACGCGCGCGCAAACGAATAACGACCTCACCCTTCCTCGACTCGAGGCTTTGCTCACTTGGCGGCGCTGGCTGCCTTTCACCTTAAGACTGAAGCAACAATCAAAACGGAATCACACTTGTACTTGAATGTGCGGATTTGTAAAGAAAACACATGTGATTGAAGAAGAGTTTTTTCCAGACAACTGTACATTTGACATCCAGGTTTTTTTTTTTTTTCAAAGTCCCTTTGTGTGTGAGCAGAGCACAATCAACACACGATGCCGTCGGAAATTGCGTCTTTCTATGCAACTAAGCAATACACATTGAATGGAAAACTGGAATTTGTCGTCTTTTGATTGGATTCCGAGATTTTTTTAAATGAGATTTTTAGAATAAGGCTGTAACATTTATTAAAAAAATATATATATATAAAATATACTGCATTTTTTTGGTTATATATAAACAGATATTTGCATTTTATGAAAATGTATTTATTTAAATTATTAGCCAATTATTTAGTCAAATTAATTGTGACATGTCTTATTCTATTCATGCATTTTAGGTCACCTTATTCCAATTTGCTCATTTTTAAAACTTTGTTGATCATGAATCTATTTGATCAAATAAAAACGATAAAATGCTTCTCTATTTTTTATTGTCAGTAAGAAATGCATGAAAGAAAATTACAATTCATAAAATTAACCCATATTTTTTTACATGTGAATTTGATTTTGAATATTTTATTCATAATTAACCAAATAACCCCCACACCCCGCAGAGCACAATCAACACACGATGCCGTCGGAAATTGCGTCTTTCTATGCAACTAAGCAATACACATTGAATGGAAAACTGGAATTTGTCGTCTTTTGATTGGATTCCGAGATTTTTTTAAATGAGATTTTTAGAATAAGGCTGTAACATTTATTAAAAATATATATATATATAAAATATACTGCATTTTTTTGGTTATATATAAACAGATATTTGCATTTTATGAAAATGTATTTATTTAAATTATTAGCCAATTATTTAGTCAAATTAATTGTGACATGTCTTATTCTATTCATGCATTTTAGGTCACCTTATTCCAATTTGCTCATTTTTAAAACTTTGTTGATCATGAATCTATTTGATCAAATAAAAACGATAAAATGCTTCTCTATTTTTTATTGTCAGTAAGAAATGCATGAAAGAAAATTACAATTCATAAAATTAACCCATATTTTTTTACATGTGAATTTGATTTTGAATATTTTATTCATAATTAACCAAATAACCCCCACACCCCTCAAAAAAAAGCAAGAGAGCGAAAATGGCAAAATGAACGCACTAGCTCAATGAAGTAAATCCTCGGTAGGCGGGAATAGAGACCAGAGTTGGGCCATGCGTGGCCGTCCCTTGCCCACCGCCCATCAAGAAACTATTTCGCAGCATTTGTGCATGCGGCCCGCAGTCGAGAAACACGCCGACCAACACGGGCGCGTGAGGGTCACGCGTATGCCCCATCTCGCCTGCTTGTCTTGGAGCCCCTCGGGCATCGGACCGCGTCTGGCGAGCTCCGATCCATTCGGGTGGGCTCCGCGTCTGGCCTGGTCTCCGTTGACATCGTTCGGGGTGGTCATCTCACCCGCCGTCGTGACTGCAGAAGCCGCTGCGACAAAGACCAGATGCAGGCTGGGTCGCAACGATTCGCCGACTCGCTCCGATCGTTGAAGACGAGGATGGTGACGGTTTCCAAAAGTGGAATACCTGCCCCTTTTGTGCACGTCGTTTGCGTATAATAACGACGGCGAGCGCTGCGTTTTCGAGACTTTCCCATACTCGCGTGGGAGGCTCTTTGTGCCTTTACTGACCTGGAAAGTTTAAGGCCTTTCCCAGCTGTCCGCCACTTTTTCCGGAGCGCTCAGTCGCCTCAGACTCTGAAGCACGGTTTGTAAAGTATCGGCTGTCGGAATGAAACAAGCGGCATCAGAGGACTCGAAGCTGACGCGTCGGCGTCGCTCGTTTGCCGAGCGTCTCACCCAGTTCCTCTTCGTACGCGTCGAGTTTCTTCACAAGCTCGGCTGCGCCGGCGTTCGTCGCAAACCCGGCGGCTACAAGATAAAAAGCTCATCAGTCTCATCATGATGTCTCGTATTCATGTTTCCGTTTGATTGTCGACTGTTCAATGTCGCAACCTGGCTCACTTTTGGTGCCGTTCAACAAGGCGAGCAGTTCCGAGCGACACGCTCGGGCCTGGGCCAAGGTGGCGCTCATGTCCTGGGTCAGCCGGTGGTTCTCCGCCAGCTGGCCGTGCACCCTCCTCCACGCCATCTTGTCCTCCATCAGGCATCCCTCCATCACGGCGCGCAGCTCCTTCTCTTGCGACACCTGACTCTGCAGGGCCTCCACTTCCTCGCAGCGCTGACGCGGACCACAAGCAAGGACGAGGTGAGTGGACCAAGTGGAAAAGATTCTTGAGCGCTCGTGCCGTATTTTTTGTCCCCTCCCCCCCCTTTCAATGTCACGCGCGCCTCGTCGGGAAGCAGCGCGTCGTGCGTTCGTTACTTTGTGCAGCTGAATGGCCATCTCCTGCATCTCGGCCTCCAGCTGGTCGGCGTAAGACTGCTCCAGTGCGTCGCTGGGCGGTCGGGCGCTGCTGTGCCATCTGGCGATAGCCGAGGTCATCTTGCGCTTTGGCCCAAACAACCTGGAAAGGCCCAAAAGGCTTTCGTCATCAAAAACTCGGTTTTCAAGTCGAACCTTTGAAAACCAAAACATTTGCGTAGAAGAAATCGGTTCTTGTTCAAAATGAGCAGGCTCTTACGTGATGCCAATTTCCTTCAGGTCGTTCTCGGTCAGGGTGAGAAAAATGCGTAGATCGATGTCTTGCTCCTCAAGTAAAGGCAGGTACTTTGAGAAGCCCAGTTGTTCCAAGAACTCTGCCAAATCCTACAGGGATTGAAGTCAACCAAATCCCCCAAAATGTCTTGACTTTTTTTTTTTTTTTTTTTAATCTTACGCAGCGACTGTGAAGCAGAAAAAAAATACAAGGCAAACGTGCCTTTGGACCGTTGTAGGACGCGGCGACATCCGCGCCCGGAGCTCCGCCGTGAAGTGCGTCGTTGCCGGCGTGGCGACTTTTTCCTTTGGCGTGATGCGTCTTAGTTACCCGGCGCGAGCTACTCTTTTGGCCCTGGTCCGAGTCCTGGCGGCGCGAGTGAGAGACGGGGACGTGACGTCGGTCGCCGATGGCTTCTTTTTGCGTTGGCTCACCTCGTTGCTCTCCACGGAGCCTTCCCAGCCCATCAGGTGAGGCAAACCTTCGCTGCTGCTGCCGCTGCTTCGCATGGTGGGCATGTCGTGGTCAAAGAACGGACTTTCGTCTGCACACACGGTGGCTTTCTTTTTTTTTTCCCGCAGTACTCGGATGACGACAAGATTACAGATAGTTTGTTGACCTCGGCTGCTGTTGCTCTGCCCGTCCAGCTCGTTGATGGGCGAGGTCACGTCACGGTAGCGGATGCCGTCGCTCCGCTCGTCGATACCGCCGAAGGTCGCGTAGCCGGCCGCCGCGGCGCGAGGCTCTGGCGTTGGAAAACACAATGGCGGGCAGCGCGCAGGGGGCAGAAAGGGTCATTGTCAGAAGAGCGGCATTTACCGCTTGGCGCGCCGACTCGGAACTTGGCGATGGCCTGGGGCCCGTCGTGGATGCTGGCGCCTTTCGCTCGGCCGCCGCGGCCGGCCCGCGGCCTGGGCGGGGCGCCGTCCGAATCCTCGGAGGAGCTGAGGTCTTGGAAAAGTCCTGCCGAGCGCCGGCGGGCAAACGTCAACTTGCGAGCTTCGTTGCGTTCCGTGACCGGCTTGAAACCGGCATCGGTGGCATCTCAGATCGGGTGGAACACGCCGACGTACCCGCTTTGTTCCTCGGACAGCGCGAGTCGATGAGGCTGGCTATTTTGGTGTAGCCGTACAACATGGCCAGGGCTCGGGCCGTCTCGCCTTTGGCGTTGCGCTCGTCTGCTTTCACCTTCTGTCCTCGCCGTCAACAAACATAAGAACAATTCATCGGGATTTAATCGCCATCGCCCCGTCGTAGAATGCAATCGTCGCACGCCTCGGCTTCATTTTCATTTCCAAACATGGAAGAGCAAAATATTGACGTAGAAATACTTGACTGTCATAGAGATTAATTTATTGCTCACGTTTGTTAAAATATAAACGGGAAGAGGACCTTGAAAAAGACGATTGCAAATTCAATTACAATTGCAAGATTGAAGGGGGGTGAAAAAAAAAATCTCAACTTGATTATTTTTCCAAATCGTTGAGCCCCACATACAAGTCAGGGGTCCGCAAACTGTCGCTTGAGGATACACAACTTTTTTTTTTAAATGTGCAGACCTGTGTGCGCCGATAAAACAAGCTTTCTAAACACATGACAGTACTTTTTAATGTTAACTTTTTTTTTTTTGTGTAGACGTTGCTGTGCTCATCCTCTGCTTCTCAATACTTGGAACAGAACATTTTTTTTCTTGCTCATAATGTATCTACATTTCAGCTGTGAATCCAAAGAAAAAAAGCGGACAACGAGAATCCCAGCGGGACGAGCGCGCAGTTCGACTACACGAGGTCCTCACGTGATCCAGCAGGTACTGAACGATGATTTCGTGTCCAGAAGCGGCAGCCTCCATTAGGGGAGTAAATCCGGACCCGGGCTCCCTGAGGGAGAGGAAAGCGGTGGCGTGAACCAACAACCGCGTCATCGCGGTTAGTCATTTCACAAAACATCCCACAATATATATTTTTTTTTTGTACCTCACGTTGGCATCGGCATTGTTATCCAGCAAAAACTTCACCATCTGCTGGTGTCCTGCGCTGGTACAATGGAACAAAGCCGTCCAGCCCCGACGGTCTTTCACCTCCAACTCAGCGCCTTGCTTTTGGAACCGAAAGGAACACGTTTTGATTTGCAGCTAAAAACAAACACATTCAAGGCATTTTTCAACTGAATTGTCATCGTACGTGGAGCAGAAAGTAGGCGATGCTTTCATTCCCGCAGCTGGCGGCCAGCATCAGGGGGGTCTGTCCTTTGGCGGTGGTGGCGTTGACGTTCACGCCGACCTCCAGCAGAAGGTTGGCGATGTTGTCGTGGCCAATGTACGAAGCGTACATCAGGGGCGTCCATCCTCCCGCGTTCTTCCCGTTCAGGTCCACCTCACGCCTGGGGAAACACAACCGATGCTTGTATTTGGTTGAATCGGCGTTAGGATCACGAGGGGGTGCTGCGGGGGTCCTTGGAAAATATCCCCCCTGCTATAAGCATCCACAAAGTTTGAGATGCCCTAGGCCAGGGGTCCCCAACCGCCGGTCCGCGGACCGGTACCGGTCCGCAGGGCATTTGGTACCGGGCCGCACAGAAAGAACTTGCCTTAATTC